TAGTTACTATACTACACTATTCATATCAAAGAAGTAAGATTAGATGCAGCATTTATAGTAATTTAAAAGATTGGAAATAACCAACAGCTGGGATGCAGTGGCCCGTGCTGGTAATCCTAGCAGTTCGGGAGCCTGAGGCAGGCGGATAACTTGTTGGGAATTGGAGACCAGCCTGGCAACATGACGAAACCCTGTCTCTACAAAAAATGTAAAAATTAGCTGGGTGTGGTGGTCCACACCTGTAGTCTGAGCTACTCGGGAGGCTGAGGTGGGAGGATCACTTGAGCCTGGGAGATTGAGGCTGCAGTGAGTTATGATCACACCACTGCACTCTGGCCTGGGTGACAGAGACCCTGTCTCAAAAACAAGACAAAACAAAAAGCTTCCGACAATACAGGAATGCCGAAATGAATTATATTAATTCTAAGTAAAAACTCAGCCTCCGAGCTGGGATTAGTCCACTACTTAGTCTAACTAAGCCAGGTTATATTGACTTGTTACAATGAGAGAGAACACACAGCAGATAAACTGGTGGCAGGACCGTGTGGCGGTGGTGCTCACCAAACACAAGGAAAATTCGAATCATTGGTTTTGGGGGAAGAGTATCGTTTTCACAGGCTCAAAGCAAAGCAGGGCTGCGTGAAAGGGTAGGCATGGGATGGGACTTCAAAGTGCATCCAGGGTCTTGTTTCCTTGGAAACTACAAAGTTGAGATAGAGGTGGAATGCTGTGTTTGGAAACTCCTTTTTGAAGTTCTCTACCTGTGTTGAATATTGCTGCTGGTTTTTTGTGTCAAGATGACTTAGGTCCTCCGGGCAGGAGGGGGATGCTTCATTCTCACTGATATGGTTTCAAGAAGCCCAAATTCAGTAGTCTGTGATTTTTGGAGTACACCGTTTCTCAGTGAATAAGAAAGGAGTGGTTACTCAAAGAAGGGAGTTAGGAGCTTTCACAGCTGCAGCGTGCCCTCGGGAGAGAGAATGTTTACTGTGATTTCTGAGGCTACCTTTGTCTCTGTCAGTGCAGCCCCACAGGACAGGTGGAACGGCAGAACAGCTTTTCACTTTCTCAGTCCTAGTGAATTTCTGCTTCTCGAAGTGCACGTTAGTGATACTGTGTTTTAGATCTTACTTTATTTCTTATTTTCCCTCCATTTAATCTATATTTTAAAAATTAAGGCCAGGCGCCAGGGCTGACACTTGTAATCCCAGCTCGGAGGCTGAGGTGGGTGAACTCACGAGGTCAGAAGATTCAGACTATCCTGGCCAAACATGGTGAAACCTCGTGTCTAATAAAAATATAAAAATTAGTTGGGTGTGGTGGCTCATGCCTGTAATCCCAGCACTTTGGGATGCTGAGGCAGGGGAATCACTTGAGGTCAGTAGTTTGAGACCAGCCTGGACAACATGGTGAAATCCCATCTCTACTAAAAATACAAAAAATTAGGCCTGGCCTGGTGGCTCACACCTGCAATCCCCAGTACTATGAGAGGCCAAGGCGGGCAGATCACGAGGTCAGGAGATCGATACCATCCTGGCTAACAGTGAAATCCCATCTCTACTAAAAATACAAAAAATTAGCCAGGTGTGGTGGCACCTGCCTGTAGTCCCAGCTACTCAGTAGGCTGAGGCAGGAGAATTGCTTGAACCCAGGAAATGGAGGTTGCAGTGAGCTGAGATCACGCCACTGTACTCTAGCCTGGACAGAGCGAGACTCTATCTCGAAAATAAAAAACAACAACAAACCCTCTCCCCCCTCAAAATTAGCTGTGTCCACACACAGCTAATTACAGGTGGGCGCCTATAATCCCCGCTATTTGGGAGGCTGGGGCAGGAGAATCGCTTGAATCTGGGAGGCGGAGGTTGCAGTGAGCAGAGATTGGCACCGCTGCACTCCAGCCTAGGCAACAGAGAGAATCTGTCTCAAAAAAACAAAAACAAAAGCATTTTCTTATCTCTGCATTCTCCATGGTACTGAAATCTAACATCAACCCCATACCTCCTCAGGCCAGAAGCTCCTTTATTGCATGCATTTTCCAAATTCCTAAATCACTAAATCTTTTTGTTTTCTTTTCTTGATGAAGTCTTGCTCTGTTGCCCAGGCTGGAATGCAGTGGTGCAATCTTGGCTCACTGCAACCTCCACCTCCCTGGTTCTAACAATTCTCCTACCTCAGCCTCCTGAGTAGCTGGGACTACAGGTACTTGCCACCATGCCCAGCTAATTTTTGTATTTTTAGTAGAGGGCGGTTTCACTGTGTTGGTCAGGCTGGTCTTGAACTCCTGACCTCATGTGATCAGCCCTCCCTGGCCTCCCAAAGCGCTGGGATTACAGGCATGAGCCATTGCATCCAGGTTCAAAACACCAAATCTTATTAAAAGTACATTCTACAATTTTCTTTTCTTTCTTTCTTTCTTTCTTTCTTTCTTTCTTTCTTTTTTTTTTTTTTAAGATGGGGTTTCACCATGATGGCCGGGCTGGTCTTGAACTCCTGACCTCAGGTGATCCACCCACCTCGGCCTCCCAAAGTGCTAGGATTACAGGCGTGAGCCACAGCGCCCGGCCATTCTACAATTTTCTCACATGCATCATTTTATCTCTGTCCACTTCTAGCACTGACTTAGCTGAGGACATCATCAACTCTGATCAAAGGACCCAAAGTCTAAGTAATAATACCAGTTTCATGGCAGGCTTTCCCTGGAACCAGGCTGGACATAATGATAATTTTCAAGAGAATGTGAATTGCTCTGTACTTGATTTTCTTTTTTTTGAGATGGAGTCTCACTTTTGTTGCACAGGCTGGAATGCAATGGTGTTATCTCAGCTCACTGTAACCTCCATCTCCTGGGTTCAAGCAGTTCTCCTGCCTTAGCCTCCTGAGTAGCTGGGATTACAGGTGCCTGCCACTAAACCTGGTTATTATGATTATTATTTTTTGTACTTTTAGTAGAGTTGAAGTTTTGCCATGTTGGCCAGGCTGGTCTTGAACTCCTGACCTCAGGTGATCCACCTGCCCCAGCCTCCTAAAGTGCTGGTATTACAGGCATGAGCCACTGCGCCCGGCAAGTTTTCTTTTCTTTAAGACGAATCTGAAAGTGGGGAACTCTGTGTACCTGAAATGATTACATTTTGATATTGACACGAAAAAATTGTGTACTAGCTTGTCCCAGTTTCCTAAACCAACAAAGACATTCCAAAAACTTTCCTAAGGGGCCTAGGAAGTTTGGCCTTCGCAGAACAGTGGCAGGAGTGTTAACCTTGTCCTATTACCAAAAGGTGTCAAAGCTGTTACTAAACTCTGACAGTTTCGGAAACCCCCATCAGCATTGGAGAATTCATTATGGCCCTTCCAGACCATGGTCACAGTCAGAACCAGATTCTGTTGCCCTGGCCTTCCGGGGAAACCCCCACGACAGCTGCTGAGAGATAAGGAAACAATGTCCCGCCATGGCTTGATCCTAGGTTGGGTGAGAGTGATTGGGTCAGACAGGCTGCACTTCCTCACAGTGAGTGTGCATATACCTGTTCGCACTGCCTATCCTTTCCCCACCCAATGTGAGGGCAGGGGGCTCAGTTGGGCTGAGGGGAGAACCGTGGAAGCTTTCCACGGTCAAGGCCCGGAGCTTCTATTGTGTGGTGGCCTGGGAACGGAGAACAGGAGGCAGTCAAGGACCCAGCTTCAACCTTTGACAGTAAACCAGAAAGAACCAAGTAGTGAGGGCATCCACTGTCTTACACCAGCCAAGAGAAACCAGGTCTTTGACTCCCCAGGGCACTTTCCTCTCTGCTTTCTTTCACTGTGCTGAGTTTGGAGAATGAGCACTCCATTGTCATAGGAGGGGTAGATGTGGGCGGAAGAGTGAGAAGGGTGAAGGTAGGACATAGACATTCCCACTAAGCTAGAGACTCATGAACGGCCATAGCCATGACATGCACAGGTTGTCCTCAAATCCCAGGGCCATGGGCAGGTCTTAGGTATCTTTGGAATTTTAAATTGGTTGGCCTCTGTCTAGTTTTAAACCTGATTTAGGTTCAGTTCAGCCAGAGTATGATTCTTTGGGGAGAGGGCCCTGACCTAGAAAACTACATGCTCAGTGGTCTGCTCAGCAACTAAGGGCTCTGACGTACTGGAGAGTTGCTCACCCTCTGAGAATTTCAGACTGTATCTTAGAAAACAAAATTCAGCAGATGACGTATTAGGCGCAAACGTATTGTCCTCGACAGCTCTAAGTCATTGCTACTTCTACCTCACAGGGTACCTATCACAAGGATCCCACTATCCATCGTGGGTCTGAGCAGGGAAAGAGGCTTTGGCAGACCGTGAATCCTGTATTAGTTTCTAGGGCTACTATAACAAAATACCACAGACTCGGGGTTTAAACTGAGATCTCACCACTGCACTCCAGCCTGGGTGACAGAGTAAGATCCTGATTCTAAATCTATCGATCAATCAATCAATCAATTGGAGCACTCTGAGATGAGTAACTCAAGGGAGTGGTTAGAATTTGAGTTCTAACAGTAGAGGGGAAAAGGGGGTAATAAAAGACATAGGGAAAACAAAATGACTTTTGGAAAGATAAATGGGCCCTTAGAACAGATGGAAGATTCGAGTCTTGTGACAATGTCTGTTTGGGTGTGGTGCCAATGTCTTATCTCTGAGATAAGATTTGCTTCTAGTCCAGAAGAAGAGTTATGACAACTAAGTAAAAAATCTGAGATATGTGAGGAGGATCTGCTATTAAACAGGAAAGGGAGTGTAGGAATTGGAACGCTTTCAGCTGAAAATTATTCTTAAGCCAAAACTGGCACATTTGGAGGTAGCATATTCTGATCCCCTTAAAAAAGGAACAACATAAACACCATATCTCTGATTCTGCCCAGGGTCCTGTGCCCTCTGGCACCGGGAATCACCAGTTCTCTCTGCCTTGTTTTGTGGTTGCTTTCTCATGCTGCTATTTGGTTACGTCTTTTCCACTAGTGTTTAAAAGCAATCAAATGCAGGAACTTTTCATTTTATTTACTATCATTGAGCTTATACGGGTCACTGAACTAAATGTCAGTTTACAAAAAAGAATAAACAAAAATCGCTGCCGGTGAGGAACACACAGACAAAATGGGGCAGTACTGAGATGTAAAGAGATGTGAAATAATGTGATAGATTCTGCGAGAGTTACTAGAGTCAGAAGTTTCCTCTATGTCCGGAAGCGGACGAGGGAGCGGAAGACATGTGTCGCCAGTGCCGGGGTGTTGGTTTAGGCAGGTGGACGCTGTGATGCGTGGTGGAACCGTTCAACAAGCCGACTTGAGAACCAGCTTTATGCGGAGAGAGAGAACTGCTCTGTCATCCTCCGTGCGTCACCCCCTGGAGGTTCTAAGTTTAAACGCTTTGATTTGGGGAGCTGAAGAGTTTTGAGCTTAAAATGACTGAAGAGCCACGAGGTGGGTCCCCATGTTTCAGTCTAGACGTCTGAACATAGATTCAAGACTTAGGAGCACACGGAAGGTGGAGCCAAGGGAGAGATTAAACAGGGCACATCAGTTCTTTTAAAAATATTCTTCCGGAAAAAAATCCCCAACAAAACACGATTCTCTCAGCGGAAACCAGGACATTTTCTCCTAGACTCCCACACAGAGGGCCCCGATAAAGTAATAAACGTGTTAACGGTAAGAACCGCAACCAATTTCATAGCGCAGTTTCTGGTCATTACTCCCAGTGTGGAGCGGATAGTCCTCTAGCAAGACCCAATCTGGCAAACTGCTGGCTCCATGTGGAGCCTCCAAAGGACAGACACAGTGGGGCCCTAAATCCTGGCCGAGAACAAAGGCCGATTTAGAGGATCTGCAGAAAGGGATGCACAGAACATGCCTCAGTCCTCCCTATGCTCGTAGCAGGCCGTCCGTATACGCCCGTTCCTCGAGATCGAAAGTATCAAATGAATTGTTTTAAAACCCGGTACAACAAAAGACAGTAAAAATAGAAACTGCGTAACAGTTGCTTACGTAGCATTTGCACTGGGTTAGGCGTTATGAAGTAATTTAGAGACTATTTACAGTACCCGGGAGGTTGTGCACAGTTACGTGCGAATCCTACGCCATTTTCTACAAGGGACTGGAACATCCTGGACTTTGGTGTCGGCGGGAGCCCTGGAACCAATCAATCCCCCTCCGATACCGAGGGAGAACCGTTTTGCTTCTCCCAGCACGGCTCTGGCTGACAGTGTGTTGGTGTTGGGATTCGCTTCGCTGACCTCCAGGAGAAAGCTCGGCAGCGTGCTGACACGTTTTCCCAGGACCAGATCGCTCCCGGGTGAGCGGAAGCAGGGCGGCTCGGTGCAACAAAACAGCCTAGGGCCGGGAATTATGGCGAACCCGCCCCCTCCCGCCGTCCCTTGGCGCACAGATCCCCGGCGCCGCCGCTCTTGAGGTCGCCTCTCGCGTGTCCGCCTCCTCGTCGGAACGGCGCTTCCTGCAATTTTACACAAGCGCAGCTGGGAATCCGTTCGTCGGGATTAAACGCTGAGCTGGCGCGCTCCTGCCGGTCTCCGGCCTCCGTTTGCTCTTCCTGGGGCTCCCTCCAGACCTTTCCCCTTAGGCTCTGCACGCCCTCCGGGCGTCCTCACACCAGACACAGGCCAAAGCCCCGGCAGAATCCCGACGCCGCGGGATGGGATCTGAATTCTCCCGGGGACTGTGGCGCAGTGATGAAGGGCGAACAACAACAAAGGAAAGGGCGAGAGTGAGAGAGCCCTGAGAAGGAAGAAGAGGAAAGCAGAAAAGAAATGACGAAATGTCGAGAGGGCGGGGACAACTGAGAACGCTTCCCGCCGGCGCGCTTTCGGTTTTCAATCTGGTCCGACAGTCTTGTATATCAGGGGAAGGCGGCCCTCGCCCGGACAGAAGCCGTCTTCCGGGCTGCAGCGGTCATGTCTGGCAGAGGAAAGGGCGGAAAAGGCCTCGGCAAAGGGGGCGCCAAGCGCCACCGCAAGGTCTTGAGAGATAACATCCAAGGCATCACCAAGCCGGCGATTCGGCGTCTAGCTCGGCGTGGCGGCGTTAAGCGGATCTCCGGCCTGATTTACGAGGAGACCCGCGGTGTGCTGAAGGTGTTCCTGGAGAACGTGATTCGGGACGCGGTCACCTACACGGAGCACGCCAAGCGCAAGACCGTCACGGCCATGGATGTGGTGTACGCGCTCAAGCGCCAGGGGCGCACCCTGTACGGCTTTGGAGGCTAGGCCGCCGCTCACGGCTTTGCACGTTTCCGTCCCAAAGGCCCTTTTTAGGGCCGACCACTTGCTCATCTGAGGAGCTGAGCACCTGACTGCGTAAAGTGCAACAGTAACCGTGCGGGAACGTAACTTTGCCAGCGGGGCGGCAGTCGGATCTGAAGTTAACAGACAGCTGGTGTCCGTACAACTCGCAGCCTTAGGGGGCTTCAGTCGTTGACCTTTTGCTTGCCTGGGCTTATTTTAGCCTTTTTCCATGCGAAAGGTCGAATGTGCTCTAGGTTCGAGCGCTGCTTTTTTCGGTTCGCTCTTGCGCAGTGTAGGCACACCTAGGGGTGTCGGGGTCCGGACGTAATGAGGCACTGGCCATTTAAGCGTCCCTTGCTGTGTAATCTCACTCTTCGCTCAGGCAAAGTGGGGAGAGTAGCCTTAGTTTTAGAGGTGCGGGCTCTCACCTGATCCGTTCAGGTTTCGTCAGTTAACCTTTCTGGGCTTCGTTTTGCCCTTACATAACCAGCGGGTGGACTACGTGCCTTCGTCTAAGGGTCCATTCATGGTCTACGCTGTCTTAAGACGCACTCAACTCACTTCAAATAAAAGTGTGACTTTGCAGATCAATCTTCGTACAGTTGAAAAACGCCTTTCTGGCAAGTTAGTGCCCAGTGCCTGAAAACTGTCATTTCTTGTGTTCAGTAACAAGGCCCCTTAACTTAATCAAGGACCTGTGAGATGACCGTCTCGGTCGTGGCATTGCGAGGATATAGATGAAGAGACATTTTAATGTGATCCCTCTATAATAGTGACTCAAGGATATGATCTTAAAGCAACTTCAAGAAACGGGCCATCCAGGTATGTGGCTTCTACCTCTCAGGGCCCGTTGTAGCTTAGAATGAGAGACCTGCAGCAACGTGCCCGCCGTCAGTACAGAAAGCACGATTCCATTTTGACGAGGCAAAAGCTAATTATTCTATATCAGCACGGCCTAGATCACAGAAAGCTGTTCTCTGCACTTCTACACTGCCACCTCTAGGTGGCCCTAATTTGGATTGAAACGGGTTCGCAGTTCTAAGCCCTAAATTAATAGCTTTGCAGCCATTGCATTGCCCAGAAGTTTATTTACTTATTTAACTCTTTATTATTGTTATTATTATTATTATTATTATTATCATTTTCTGCATTCTAGGCCTACGATTTTACAGCGAAATTGGACGGTGTATGTACTTGAGAGAATAAAATCTGTCAGCTCCCAAATGATAAACCAGTAGTTGCTTTACTGGTCTTCGGACGTGACTGCTCTCATCAGCATCAGACACTTGAGAAGGAACTAGGCTTAAAACACGGTACTTGGCAATCGGGTTGCCAGCAAAGCAGCGGATGCGAGACTTGCCCTCCAGGAGCTTAGCATCAGACGGGAGAAGAGAAATAAATGCATAATATGTAGGCGACATAAATCCACACCAGTACGCAGTTAGGAGGAAATGGCAAAGCCAAGAGTAAGAGGCCGTACGTATTCAATATGATGAGAAACTTAGACAATACTATAGGAGCCCAAATGCTACAGATGTCACTGGCTGCTGGGAGACTAGGGAAAACTTGTCCATGGACGTGGGGGTTTGTGTCGGACTCTGAATAAAGAGCAGAATGCTTGCTGTCCTACTGGCGGGTTATCTGCCCATTGCCTGAAAAGTATCATTTCCTGCGTTCAATAAAAAGGCCCGTTATGAGATATGAGCTACGTAGTAAAGGGGACGGGGGCAGGGAGGACGTGGCAAGAATAACATGTGTGAAGATGTCCAGGTGGGAAACAGAAGTGTTAATGCTCCGGATGTTTCCTTTCCCTTTCAGATCTGACCTGTCATTTCCAGCATTCCTATTTGAAATATCACTGTTTTTTTGTTTGTTTTTTTTTTTTTTTAACCTTTAAAGGCAATGCTGATGAATATATCTGATCCTCACCAAGATCCACTAAAGAAGGAGATAAAATTTGAAGAGAAATAAGAAAGAAAGGGAGTGGGGTAGAAAACACCCGTTATTTGAATTAGGGTAGCCTCTCATCCATCCAACAATGGAAAACACATCCATTGTTCTCAAAGTGTAGCCTCTCATCTATCGGTATTGATCACCTGGGATAAAAAAATCTTGGGCCCCACTGAATGAGACACTGAGGGATGAGACCGTGTAATTGGTACTTTTGAAAAAGCCCTCCTGGTGATTCTGATACATATTAAAGTTTGAAAACCACTGATGTAGATAATAGCTCTTTCTGTCTTTTTTTTTTTTTTTTTTTTTTTTTTTTTTTTTTGAGACGGAGTCTCACTCTGTCACCCAGGCTGGAGTGCAATGGTGGAATCTTGGCTCACTGCAACCTCCACCTCCCAGGTTCAAGCGATTTTGCAGCCTCACCCTACCAAGCAGCCGGGATTACAGGTGCCACCACCTGTAGTTTTAGCTGCGCTAATTTTTGTAGTTTCAGTAGAGCCGAGGTTTTGTCGCGTTGGTCAGGCTGGTCTCGAACTCCTGACCTCAGGTCATCCACCCGCCGTAGCCTCCTGAAGTGCCGGGATCCCTGCACCTGGCCTCTTTTCTCTCTCTCTCTCTCTCTCTCTCTCTCTCTCTCTCTCTCTCTCTCTCTCTCTCAAGCAGTTTTTGTTTTAATGAAAACGTATTTAGAATCTGAACATATGTTGCCCAGATGTTTCCCAAATGTTAAATTTTGCTTTCTTTGACGGAAAAGAAACCATATGGATGATCCTAATACATTTCTTGTAGCAAAAAAACATAGACGGAAAAAGGTGAAACAGCCTTTGTTTCTTCAAAGAATTTGGGGCAGACAGACAAGACGTATGAATGAAAAATGTAGCCGGCTTGTTTTAGTAAATATCAGTTTCTACTTCTAATAGTACTTAAGTTTGTAACTAATGGATGTGTTTTCTTTTTTCTTCCAAGATTTCTCCAATATCTTGTCCTTTACCATTGCACGTCATTGTGTACATCTTCTTTATAGTGACATTAGTACTCGCCCTTGCTCCCACCATGTCGAGTCCACCACATGCTATTATGGTATAGACACGGCTAAGTCCTCTATGAGCTGTCGGCCCCCGAACATTGCCAAGTCACGGAATACGCAGCTATGTATGGTTTTACATTAATAAAAGTCCCTTTTTCTGAACCATCTATTACAGTGAAGGATATAATGCTATTTTTAGCCATCTTTAATAGCAAGGCATAAAATTTCTCTCTTTGATTTGCCCCCCAAATAATTTCCTTCCCATTTCAATCCTTCGGTAGCTCTCCACGAGCCGGCTTCTGTCTGCCACCTCCTTCCCTCCCTAGATGAATTCAAGACTTCCACTCAGACACATACAAATGATTATAGAGTTCGGTCTGTGGGTCTACTCCCATTACCGTGGTCACACAGGCACCTGCATGGCCCACCACTGGCTGATCAGACTTCACTGTGGACCCATTTGAAGTCTTTCTTCCCGTTACCCGCCCCTTACCTCTCTGCGTAGCTCATCCTTTACTGCATTCTTCTTCCCTTCCTTTGCAGCCTCTTACTCTGTACTTCACTCTCTAGCCAGTGATGTACGTGTTAGTTCCTTACTTGAAACAAAGGAACGGAACTGATATTTATGCAGAATGTTACTAGTACACATAAATACGGATAAATATATAGATAATTGTCAGGAAAAATGCTCACAAAAATTTAAGAATGATTTATAAGGGCTTATCTTCATTGAACATTTCTAATAGTTTGAATTTCTTAAAATAAGCGTGAATATAATTTTCCCCAAAACGATCAGAAGTTTAGGTAGGTAGGTAATCTGAAGTACACAAACCATGAGAAATCCTACCTCTGTCAAAGTTAAATTTTCACATCTTTAGTGTTACTGAGAATTTTATTTTTTTCCAAGGTGGAATCTTGCTGTCGTCAACCACGCTGGAGTAATAATGGCGCCATCTCGGATCACCGCAACTTCTGCCTCACCGGTTCGAGTGATTCTTCTGCCTCAGCCTCCCAAGTAGCTGGAATTACAGGGGACCACCACCATGCTCAGCTACTTTGTATATTTTTAGTAGAGACCAGGCTTCGCTACATTGGCCAGGCTTGTCTCGAACTCCCGACCTCGTGCGATCGGCCCGCCTCGGCCTCCCAAAGTGCTGGGATTACAGGCGTGAGTCACCGCACCCGGCCGATTACTGAGCATTCCTGCCTTTGTCACAGCCTCATTTTAGGGATCAAAGGAAACGTTCTATGCGAAAGAAAAATGAGGCCGTGAAGTGATGTAGAAACGAAAGCTGATGTTTTTATCATCTTTCCCACTCAGTGTAGTTTTCTTTTTCTTTCTTTCTTTTTTTTTTTTTTTTTTGAGACACGGTTTCACTGTACTTAAGGCCACCAGGTAAGGAAGGGAAGGGTTATTAGGATAAGAGAGGGCAGAAGCAAGGAGGGCCCAAAGAGATGAGGGCAAAGAAGAGCAAGGGAAGGCTCACAGGGCTGACTCTTGAAGAATGGGGGTTCTTAGGGTCACACAGAAGGGGAAGACGTTCCGGACAGAAACAGAAAGTGTGAAGATGCTGCATGCTTGGAGATTGCAGATGCCGAGCGGGGCTAGAATAATCTTGTTCGGCTGCAAAAACATCTGAAACCTGAGAAGGCTGTGGGAAACATGAGGAACTAGATGTGTGATACTTTGAGTTCTTCTAAATTAGTAACTGCTAATAGAGCAGCAAAAATTGATGGGGCTCTTGTTCTGCGCCAAATACTGTGCAAGGTCTTTTTTTAAGACACGGGGTCTCACTGCTGTCACTGAGGCTGAAGTGTGTTAATAAGGTCACAGCTCACCACAGTCTCGAACTGGCCTCTAGCAGTCCTCTTGCCTCAGCCTCCTGAGTCACCGGGATTATTACAGGCATGAGCCACCACACATGGCTTGTGCTAGATACTTTACAGAAATTGTCACTTTTACTATTTCCGACAAAAGTATGAGCAAGTAACTGCTACCCCATTTTACAGACGGGAAAAGTTAGGCCTATGGAGATCTGCCTCCTGATCTACTCGGTCCCGTGGCTGTGCTTGCGTTCTCGGGGGTCTGTGTCGATAGTCCGTCTGGCCGTGCCCGAGCCTGCAAATCCGCGCTGCCTACAAATCCGCATGGCAAATCCTTAAAGTCATTCACCTGTTTACATGGAAAAGGTTGGGATTCAAACTTGATTTTGTCCAACTCCAGTCCTTCCTGGTTATTAGCCTCTAGTGCTGTGAATTGCCATGCAAAGGAATGTTAACTTAATCCTGAAGGGAATGGGAAGGTCGCAGAAAAATTTTAAGCATGAAAGTGAGAGGCTCAAAACAGAAAGCAAACAAAAAAACGAAACCCTCATTTTTTTAAAGACAGCTCTCATAGAGTGGAAACTCGGTGGCAGGGCAGAAAAGACCAGCCTGACTATCTAACCTACCAGACCAGAGCTGGTGAGGGCTTCAGTTGAGGTATGGTCATGGGAGGATGGAGAAAAGGTGATACGATTGAAAGTCAGAAGGTAGATTTAGTAACATTTGGAACTCACAGGATTTGGACAGAGGACGAGAGGAAGGGACACCTGACCAGTAGAGACAGAGGTAGTGAAGGTGTGTTCCATGAAGATGAAGAATGTGGAAACAGATCGGTTTGGAAAGCAAGATGATGCATGAGGTTTTGGAAATAAGCTGGGTTTGAAGTGCCTGGTATCCATCCAGAGGGACCTGTCTGCGAGACGGAAACATTGGTGTAGCAGTGGCTCACGTCTTATAAGCCCAGCATTTTCGGAGGCCAAGGCGGGATGGCTTGAGCCCAGGACTTGGAAACCAGCCTGGCCAAGGAAGTGAGACCTTGTCTCTACAAAAAAAATTAAAAACTAACCCAGTCATGGTAGTGTATGCCTGTAGTCCCAGCTACTCAGACGGCTGAGGTGGGATAATCGCTGATCCGAGTCCAAAACTGCAGTGAGCTTTGATTGTGCTACTGCACTCCAGCCTGATGAGTGAGACCATTTCTCACACACACACACACACACACACACACACACACACACACACACACACACACTGCAGGGATCGGGATAGGGTCTCTGCAGAAGATGAAGCTCAGATTAACAAAAGCCCGCCTGCACCCTCCGGGAATTCTGGCTTAAGGGCAGGATACGGGGCTCGCCACTGTGCCGGTGGTGGGGCGGGCCTCACCGACACCCGACCGGCACCCCAGCACAGTTCTCTCTGCACGTTTGCCCCCAGAACCCCAGCAAGGCCGAGGTGGCGAATTCCCTCCGTAGCCGGGCGGCCGCGCCCACCGGGCGGGGTAAGTTTGGGCGCGAAGCCGGGTCATGTAGCACTCCATCTCCGAAAAGGCCAGGCGCTGTCCCCGAGTGTCCCCTGGACGCGGGCCCGAAGCGTCTCTCCTTTCCCCGCTACCCATCCAACGCTGGGTCCCCGTCAAGCGCGGGAAGAGCGGGGCCGGCAAAGCCCGCAAGCCGGCGCCCGGGAGCGAAACGGCGTGAGCTGGTGGCGCCCAGGATAGCTGACCTAGGTTGGTTGGCAAAGCTCAAGGCGGCACTGCAGCCAGGGCACCCGACCCTGAGTTTTGCGGGGACCTAGCTGGAAATGCTTTCCCCGCCCTTAAGGCCGGAGGAGCACGGACCGCAAGCGGTACAGCCTCTTCCAAGTGCTGCTGTGGGTGGCTCTGAAAAGAGCCTTTTGGGTACGATGGAACCTCCGACCCGAGCGCGCACTTCTCAAGCCCGCTCCCCACGGATGCGGCGGGCCAGCTGGATGTCCTTGGGCATGATGGTCACGCGCTTGGCGTGGATGGCGCACAGGTTCGTGTCTTCGAACAGCCCCACCAGGTAGGCCTCGCTGGCCTCCTGCAGCGCCATCACGGCCGAGCTCTGGAAGCGCAGGTCCGTCTTAAAGTCCTGCGCGATCTCGCGCACCAGCCGCTGGAAGGGCAGCTTGCGGATCAGCAGCTCCGTGGACTTTTGGTAGCGCCTGATCTCGCGCAGGGCCACGGTGCCCGGACGGTAGCGGTGCGGCTTCTTCACCCCGCCCGTGGCCGGCGCGCTCTTGCGGGCCGCCTTGGTGGCCAGCTGCTTCCTCGGGGCCTTGCCGCCGGTCGACTTGCGGGCAGTCTGCTTAGTACGGGCCATGGCAAACCAAAACACAAACTTAGGAACGCAGCCGCGGGGAGAAAAACGGGCTCCCGGCCCCGCGGCAGCCGCCTTTATAGGCACAGTCTTTTCCCGATTGGGCGGAGCAATAATTGAAAATCCCGCGCTGGCTGTCCATTGGGCGTGACGTCACCCGCCTCCGCGTCACCGGTTGGCTCGGGCGGAGTCCGCCCTAACCCCGCCCACCCGCCTCGCTTTCTACTTTCCAGTCGGCCCCCTCTGTTTTGCAAGCGTTTTCCCCCTTTCTTTCGGGGTCAAAGTAGTTTTCCATGGCCGCTTGTGTTAGATTGTTGCCTGTACGCCCTTCACTTCCTTAGAACCCGCTGTCCGCGATAGCCCCCTTTCTCGCTGCGCCCTGCAGCTCCCGCCGGGAACCTTCTTCCGTTTCCACCCCGAGTCGCTACTTCGCCTGTTGGGTGGGGGGGGGGGGGGTGCCTTTTGGGTGAGAGACGTGTCCGTCCCCAGGGCGCAGGATTCCGCCCCCGAGGCCGCTACTCTCCGCCCGGAAAACAAAATGGAAACCAAGACTAGGTCAGCTCAGCAAAGCCAAGACCCAGCTCGGCCACACCGGGCAGCACTAGCCACTCGGGGCCCTCCGCGTGGTGGGCGGAGGCGAGGAGCACCTCCCGCTTACGCTTGAGGAGGTCTAAGTGGCCGGCCGCGGCTCCGCGGAGAGCGCCGGGGAAGCGCGCGCTTTGCGCACAACGCTGAAGCGCGGTGGGTGGCGCCTGTGGCTGAGTGGACCGCGGCGTCCAGGACGTTTGGTGCCTCCACCTGCGCCGGGAAGCCCTGGGACGGCATGCAACACGGCACACCCGCCCCCTCCGACCCGTCACCCCCAGGTCCCTTGTTTGCTACCGAGAAAGGCTGCGTCCAGAGTACGTAGCCGTCGTTAACAACTCTTTTATTTGAAAACGTGGGTGGCTCTGAAAAGAGCCTTTTGAGTTCACAGGTGCCCCTTCGAGACGCGGGCCGCGCTGGGCTTCCGGACGGCAGCCTCACTTGCCCTTGGCCTTGTGGTGACTCTCCGTCTTCTTGGGCAGCAGCACGGCCTGGATGTTGGGCAACACGCCGCCCTGGGCGATGGTGACTTTGCCCAGCAGCTTGTTCAGCTCCTCGTCGTTGCGGATGGCCAGCTGGAGGTGACGGGGGATGATGCGCGTCTTCTTGTTGTCCCGAGCCGCGTTGCCCGCCAGCTCCAGGATCTCGGCGGTCAGGTACTCCAGGACCGCCGCCATGTAGACGGGCGCGCCGGCCCCCACCCGCTCCGCGTAGTTGCCTTTGCGCAGCAGGCGGTGCACTCGCCCCACCGGGAACTGCAGGCCAGCGCGGGACGAGCGCGACTTGGCCTTGGCGCGGGCCTTGCCTCCTTGCTTGCCACGGCCAGACATGCCAGCGACTGCAGCCGATAGGACTCACTCAGAAAAACCTCCTGCCTGACGACCGGGAAAGTCGCCCAAGACGCCGCCGCCTCACCCTTTTATAGACACAACTGCGATTGTCCACGGAGCACTTTGATTGGCTCAAGTACCGTTTGTCCGGATGGCCAATAGGATAGCTCCGCCAGAATCCACTCATTTACATAATCTCGTCTCCCTGGCGTTGGGCGCCGCGGAAAACTCGCGAATCACAACGCAGCGTCTTGGGAACTTTCCTGTGCGCTCGGTCTCCCTAAGTGCAAGTGCATCCTGGCTTCCGGTAGAACCCGGTCCCGCGGCGGTGCTTGCGTTCTTGGTGGCGGGGGGTCTGTGTCGCCAGTGCGGCTGGCCATGCCTGAGCCTGCAGAGTCCGCCCCGCCTCCCAAGGTTACCGAAGTGCGAAAGAAGGGCCGCGAGAAGCGCAAGCGCAGCCGCAGGGAGAGCTGCTCCGTGTGGGTGTACGAGGTGCACCGGCGTCTCGTCCAAGGCCGTGGGCATCTTGAACTTCTTCCTCAAAGACATCTCCCGGCTCATCGCGGCGGCGGCGGCGGCCGCGGCGTAGTCCTTGCCCGGCGCACTACAACAAGCGCTCCACCGTCACGTCCCGCGAGATCCAGACCACCGTGCGCCTGGTGCTGCCCGGCCAGCTGGCCAAGCGCGCCGTGTCCCAGGGCACCGAGGCGCTCACCGAGTACACCAGCTCCAAGTTTGCCCCTGCCGGGACCTGGCGCTCGCCGGCTCCCGAAGGGAGTCGCTGTCTGCTTCACTCCCAAGGCTTTCAAGCTGCTCTTGTGTTTTCAGTTCCATTTTATTACATTTTTTGGACTTTCGTCTGCTTTAAGAAAGCTGACAACTCCATCAACCCCAGATAACCTATTTTCAGATTGGCAGTGCTATAAGTATGCTTATAGATTGTTAGTGGTGTATTACTTTGGTATTAGGTGTACTTGTGCTTGCCTTAGAGGGCTGCTCTTAAAACTGTCTTTGGCTTGTGTATGTACCCTTCAGTATGTGTCCAGTAAATTGTGTCCTGGTGAGAAATGCAGTTTAATTTATGAGCTTATGTAAGATCAAATTGTATATATGAACAAAAGTTTGGGTCTCCTCTTCAGTGGTAAAATGAAGGTAGAAGTTAAACGCATTGTATACTCTGAGGTGTACTTTAAAGGGAATAGTTCAAGTTTTATATATGGTATGGAGAAATTTCTTTAGGTTTTTTAGATCGTTTCACAAACACGTGTCTACACCACCATTCATGTTAAGATTACTTAAGGAGGTAGATGGAAGCTTCATATTAATACCCAGGAATTAACACCGATAACACTGGTGCCAGCTGTGCCCTCTAATTGAAATACCCTAAAATCTCAATACCATTAAATGGTATTTTCTCACCTGAAGAAGTATCATTCAGGAAAACTTGTCCAGTTCAAGTTCCATACAATGGCAACAAAATACATGATTTTTTGGGGGGAGCAGGGGACAGAGTTTCGCTCGTTACCCAGGCTGGAGTGCAATGGCGTGATCTCGGCTTACCACAACCCCCGCCTCCTGGGTTCAGGCAATTCTCCTGCCTTGGCCTCCTGAGTAGCTGGGAATACAGGCACGCACCACCATGCCCAGCTAATTTTTTTGTATTTTTAGTAGAGACGGGGTTTCACCATGTTGGCCAGGATGGTTTTGAACTCCCAACCTCAGGTGATCTGCCGGCCTTGGCCTCCAAAGTGTTTGCATTACAAACCTGAGCCACGGTGCCTGGCCAAAATACATATGATTTCTGAACCCAGCTTGGGATCCCTGAAAAGCAGAAGTACCACAAATGTGTGAGAGGTTGATTAGGTTTGTTGTCAGCTTTGGGAACACTGGACTTGTAATAACCCAGCCTCGTTACCCTTAAAAGATTATACTGATTGCTTCGGGATTCGTAAACAGTAGGCTGGCCACAATAGAAACAAAGAAAGCAATTAGGAGGCTGTTGCAGTTCTGTGGGCTGGAGCCCACAGATTCTTAAAAATCTCATCTCCAGACCAGCAGCATCAGCATTACTTGAGGTTATTAAAAAATGAAAATTCCTAGGTTGCAATTATTCGTGTTAACAAACTTTCTGGGTGATGAGAAACAAGCTAAAGTGTGAAAAACACTTGATAAATGACATGTTGGAATGTTTCCATTACCCCATAACAGTCATTGGGGTAATGGAAACAAATGTTGGATTTTATCTTTGAGGTAGAATTGATAGGTGTGTGTGGGGATCACTCCTGTGTGAGGCCCCTAGGAAATGGGCCTCACCATATGGTGAGCTTGAGCCCGGACACAGATCCCCGGTTGGGGGAGTCGAGCTGAGGGAAAGCAGGAACCGAGAGAGGGACTATGTTATTCTAAATAATTAACAGACATTACTTTATGGATATGAGGACTTGGGAGGCAATGTGTCCACTTTTGGCTTCTTATGGTTTATTGCTTGATTGTGTTCATTTTGGACCCTTGTCACCTTCATTGTAAAATATTAAGTATTTACACTTAGTAACTTACAGTAACTTGCTGGGTGTAACTAACTTACCATAACTTACTGGGCGTGACTGTAACTTACTTACCTTGACCTATTGGGCGTAACCTACTTACTGGGTGTAACCTACTTACTGGACTTAACTTACTTACTGGGCGTAACTTGCTTACTGTAACTTAAGTACGTTGATCAGGCGTAAACAACTTTGACTTCAGAAAAGTATATAATGAAACGTATTGCAAAAATAAAATTGCTGCTTGGACATAGCCTAAGCCAGCCCTCCAGACTCCGCTTTACTATTTTCTTTCACTTCCGTGCACTCTCCCCCTCAGGTTGAACGAGACATCTACGTTGGTGGTCTCGGGGACTCCTGCAGGTCGATAGTCCCCCGGCAGACGTGCCGGACCCCAACAGGTGTGGCTGAGGAACAGGATTTAGGTAACAGTGAAAACCCCTAGAGTTTCTGGCTTGAGCAACGGTACATAGTAGTTAGGATAGAACACTTGGAGAAGATATTCATTGGAATACTAAAGGGAGATCCAGAGTTCTGATTTAAATTTGAACAGCTATTTGCTATTCAAGTGGATATGGGGAGTTGACAGTTTGAGAGATGCATCTAGGGTTCAGTAAAGACAACACAAGCCTGTGTTTAAGGTCCACCTGTGAACTGTGAATACAGCGAGGGGGATAATAGACATCACCTTAAAGTATTTTTCTAGACCTTATTACTCATGTGTTTGTCATGAGGTATAACTTAGGAGTTTATAGTTCTGCAATGTATGTTATTGACCAGATAGCATTTATTTTTCTAATTCTGTTTGTTATAGTATGTCATATGTGCTTCCCAGAAACAGGTTTTACCCACAGTTCTTAGGGTTGGCCTAATGAGTTTATTGTTGTCTCAACCTGATTCTTACTGTGATTAGTTCAGGAATCTAGATCAAACTAATTGGCATTTAACATTTCAGGAAGTGAACTGAGTAACAACTAACTCAGCAGGGGAGAGTATTATGCTATTATCTTCTGGGAAAGAAGCTTGTTTTCAAGAGGCGGCAGCAGGATGGACTGCCTTTGGGCATGAAGGCAAGAATGATTATAGACAGTATGCAGAGGAGGCACAGTGTGGGGGAATCACAGTGTGAGCCACTCTTAGAGTTCAGCCAACCCTGGATCTCTGCTGTACTTTTGGACTTCCAGTAGAGCCAATTTGTCTGACATATTTACTTATACCAATTTGAATCTTGAAATATCAAGGAAAAGACCTTTCATGAAAGGTCTCAAAGAAACAAATAGGGTCGATTAGGACAGAATTGCTCCAACTACGTATTTGGAACAAATGTCGAAATGGTAAAAACCAGTATTTGATAAAGGCTAAAGACTAATATATTACCATCATAGAAAGAATGTCCAGGCTTTTTTGTTTTTTAGATGTGAAACTTTATTTAAGAATTTAACGTCTTTTCCTGTATGTCTCCGTGTTTTCTTTTTTTTTTTGAGGCAGTTTCACTCTTGTTACCCAGGCTAGAGTGCAATGGCATGATCTTGGCTCACTGTAAACTCTGCCTCCTGGGTTCAAATGGTTCTCCTGCCTCAGCCTCCTGAGTAGCTAGGATTACAAGCATGTGTCACCATGCCCCCCTAATTTTGTATTTTTAGTAAGATAGGGTTTCATTGCCCCCTGCCTCAGAGTTATAGAACAGCTTCTTCAGCTTTTCGCCCCCAGGACTCTGCAAAACTTTCCGACTTTCAGAAGGTTTGCGTCCGTTCCCTGTAGTTTTTCCCACCACTCTGATGGATCCCCCACATCATGAGAAATATTACGTGGGAAAGTTAACGTACCAAACAGTTCTCATTCTGTCGCCCAGGCAGAAGTGCAGTGCAGTGGCATGATCACAGCTCAATGAAGCTTCAACTTCCCTGGCTCAACAGATCCTCCTACCTCAGCCTCAGAAGTGGCCTAGCCAGCTGCCATGTTCTGAGGACACTCAAGTAACCCTATGAAGAAGCCTACATGAAGAGAAACTGAGATCTCCAGCTAACATCCAGAGAACAGAGGTCTCCTGCCAATAGCTTCGAAGAGACTTCCTCAGCCATAGACAAGCCTTTAAGTGAACACAGCCCTGGCTAACAACTCACTGCCACCTCATGAGAGGCCCTGAGCCAAAACCTCCGCCTTAAACTGCTTTCAAGTTCCTGTCTCACAGAAACTGTGAGATAATAAATATTTTGTTTTAAGCCCCCCCAAAAAAGGGGGGGGGTCAGGCTGGTCTCAAATTTCTTGACCTCAGGTGATCCACCTACTTTGGTCTCCCTGTTGGGGTTTATAAGATTATGATATAGAAGTCCTGTTTTGTAAAAAAGCTTGCTTGTAAAAGGCATTTGAGGTAAATAAGTAGGCAGAAAAGGATCTGTGAGCCCACGAACTGTCCATGAACTGTTCTGAAACGCTAAGAGCTCTTGGCGGAGCAGAACGATATCTTGGGGGCTGGGAGTCTGGCCAACTCCCGGTGCCCAAGAAACAGTCAAGGACAGGACACTTATGAAGCAGATCTTCCTTGTTTACCGACTGAACTTGACTAGCCCAAAGATGAGTATGTAAACTAGTTATGTAAGCGGATACAATAAAGGAGCAAAAAGAACACAGAGATATTGAATCAGAGCGACTTCCAGATGTGACTTGCGAATAGCCCGTGCTGCTGTCTTGCTGGTGCTGAGGTAGAGTGGTTTCCATATATATATATATATATATATATATATATATATATACACACACGTGTGTATATATATATGTGTATATATATATATAACTATCGTCTTTCCATCCTCCTACTTCTCTCATTAAAATTTTCTATCATTTTATTATTGTTCTTGGTCTGGTGTTTTCTTCCCATGAATCTGCCTGTTAAAGGAAAAAGCAAGCTTGGTACGCGCAGTTAGCGCAACAGGATTACAGGCATGAGCCACCACACCCAGCCATCTCCATGTTTTCTTATAAGGGTATCAGTCATACTGGATTAGAGCCCACCCTAATGACCTCATTTTAACTTGACTAAATCTGCAAAGACCCTATTTCCAAATAAGGCAAAATTCTAAGGAACTAGGGGTTAGACTTCAACATATCTTTTTTGGGGACACAATTCAACCCCTAACAGTAGTCAACAGCTGTGGCAGGCTAAATATGGCCTCCGAATATGTCCATATCCTAATCCCTAGAACCTGTTAATATTACCTTATATAGCCAAGGGAATTTTGCATATGTGATTCTGAGACTGGATTATCCAAATAGGTTCCAAAAGTAATCACCACAGCCATTATAGGAGAGGCAAAAAAGTCAAGTATGGTAGCAGGTGATATAGAAGCAGAGAGAGATTTGAAGATTAACAGGATGCTTGCTGTGATGATGGAAGCAAGGGACCATAAACCAGAAATATCCCCCTAGAGGCTGGAAAAGGCATGGAAATACACACTCCCTTTGTCGGGGTCCGGCACGTCTGCCGGGGGACTACCGACCTGCGGGAGTCCCCGAGACTGCCAACGTAGATGTCTCGTTCAACCTGAGAGAGAGAGTGCGCGGAAAAGAAAGATAGAAAAGTAGAGTCTGGAGGGCTGCGTGAAGATTATGGCCAAAACGCAGCAAATTAATTCTTGTGGGTTACAGCTTTTATACCTTTTTTCTTGTTTACATTTACCTTATCTCAGCAGAAAGAAAGAAAGGGGTAGACAGAAAGGAAACAGAAACTCCACAAAAAATAGTTATCAGGGGCTTGTGATATCCGCACAGAAGGCAGTTTAAGGGGGCTAGTGGTAGTAGTTTACATTTCAAAGATTTTACATTTCAAAGATACAATGGCACCCTTAAGGTGGCTGGTTAAACCTGTTTTTCACCAGGAGCTAAAACAAAGGCTTGGCTCCAGGGAAAATATGGGCAGAGGTCTCTACTCCTCTTAGGCATCTCAATTGCAGCAAGTTTATTGCTTACACAGAGACTGAAGGGGGACATGGAAGCAGACAGCACAATGTCCTCATAAACTGCAGGCCTTTGCTTTGCATTCTGTTGTTGCTTTTAGTGAGTCAGCTCACCGCCCTTTGTCTCACTCGACAGCCCTCGAGGTGGGGAAACGCAGTACAGGTCCAGCAGCCAAACTGGGGCGAGTCAACTAGCTGTCTCGAGCCCTTGGCGCGAACACCACATCCCTTAAGGCCTCCAGAGGAAGTACACCCTTGATTTCTACCTAGTGAAACCGAATTTGTACTTCTGACCTCCAAACTAAGAGAATAAATGACTGTTGTTTTAAAACCATTGAGTTTGTAGTAATTTGTTGCAGCAGCCACAGGAAACTAATACAGTAACTATACAGGATTAAAAAAAAATGGAGAAATTTGAATATGGATTGCATATTAGTTAATATTACTGAATCAACATTAAATTTGTTGGCTGTCATAATGCTACTATAGCTATTTAGGAGAATATCCTTATTTTTAAGAGACATGCCATTTTATTCAGGGAGAAGTGCCAACATATTCACAGTTTATTTTTAGATGGTTCAGGGGCTGTCTGTGTGTACATGAGAAGACAAAGACAATACAAATGCAGCAAAATCGTAATACCTGGTAAATCCAGGTGAAGGGTCTATGGTTGGTCTTTGTACTATTTTTTCCAACTTTTCTGTAGGTTTAAAATTTCAAAATAAAAAAATGGGAAATACTTTAAAAATTGTAATCAAAGACAATTATTAGTACAAAAACTTTTATACATTAATGTATCTTATTTTTATAATAAAAATAATTTATGTAAATTGACAGAATTTCAGTAATTTCACTCCAAGTTATATTTAAAAGCCTTACATGTGTTTGATAATAGTATATATAAACTAGAACTCTGAATGAGATCCATTGGTCAGAATACATATTGGATAGCGGTGATGATGGCTTTTGTGATCGTACGAGTCCAGGGATGCCCCAAATGACACTGACTTACACGTCTGGTTATTCTAAGGTTGAAACTGAAGTTGAATAGGTTTTAGTCAACTACTGAGACCAAAGCTGAGGCAGTCCTGTACACACACACACACACACACACACACACACACACACGACATCGTGATTCTAAATATTTACAGAAAAAGTAGATTATCAACAAAAGAATCAGAATCAGACTGATATGAGAGCTTATGAACCTAACTTCCTTCTCTTTCCTAAACACCAGATTCTCATATTTCCAACTTACTATTTGATAGTTAACACTTCCATACTTACCAGGAGTCTCTCAACATTTTGTTCAAAGTAAGTACTCTTGGTTTTCTTCCTCCAACACCACTCCTCACTCATTTCAGCAAATAGCAGCTGTTTTCAAGTGCTCAGTGTAAAAACCTACAATTAATCCTTGATTTCTCTTTCAGTCAGCCTATACTAAATCAATTTCATTTAAAATATCTCGACTAATACTCAGCATCTCCACTGCTACCATCTGCCTCTCCAGTCAAATTCTTCAAGAGCACTCCATCTCACTCACAAAACAAAAATCTCAGCAATGGCCTGTGAAGCTCCTTAATGGACTACATGATCCGGCCCTCAAGCACCTCTCTGATCTCTCTGTAAATCTCTCCGTTGCACAGTATACTTCGGCCACATTAACCAGCTTGCATATTTCTCACTTTCACCAAACCTGTTCCTGCCTTGGGGCCTTTGTACTTTGTGCGGTGTTCATGCCAAGGGCTTGAGACAGTTAGTGTGACTCGCCCCATCTTGGCTGCTGGACCTATCTGCAGTCTCCCATCTCGAGGGCTGTCAAGCTGAGACAAAGGCCACGGGCTGAGTCACTGAGGTGAAAACAGAATGCAAAGCAAAGGTCTGTGGTTTATGAGGACATTGTGCTGTCTGCTTTCATGTCCCCATCAGTCTCTGTGTAAGCAATAAACTTGCTGCAATGAGATGCCTGAGAGGGACAAGAGACCCCTGCCCATATTTTCCCTGGAGCTAAGCCTTTGTTCTACCTCCTGATGGAAAACAGGTTTAACAAGCCACCTTAAGGGCACCATTGTTTGCTTGCACTGTGTATCTTTGAAAAACAAACTGCTTTGTAAACTATTATCACAAGCCCCCTTAACCTGCTTTGTGAGGGGTTATCACAAGCCCCTGATAAATGTTTTCATGGAGTTTCTATTTCCTTTCTGTTTACCCCTTTTCTGCTGAGATAAAGTAAATGTAACACAAAAAAAGGTATAAAAGCTGTAACCCACAAGAATAAACTTGCTGCATTGTGACCATAAGTTACGCAGACCTCCAGACTCTGCTTTACTTTTTTCTTTCACTTCCGTGCACTCTCTCCCTCAGGTTGAACAAGACATCTACGTTGGCGGTCTCAGGGACTCCCGCAGGTCGGTAGCCCCCAGGCAGACATGCCGGACCCCAACAGTACTTGCCGTTTTCTTGAGAATACTCTGCCTCAAGATATCCTACAACTCACTATCTTACTGTGTTCAGCCTTCCACTCAAGTATTAACTGATCCGACCTGTCAACCCACTCCACTCCATGTTTTGCTTTACTTAACAGCAATGCACATATGGCTCCCTGAATAATACAAATGTATTTGTTCCGTTTTTTTTTACTAATCCACTAATTAAAATGTAGATGTTTTCTACTCTGTTTACTGCTGTATTCCCAGCATGTTTTATCCCAATGTGCAGTGGCTTTTTTCTTCTCCCTTATTGTGTGAAGCGATGTGCACAAATGCACATAATGAAGCCTGAATAATATGTCACATTGCTTTCATATTTCACTGTAAGTGAATTTTACTAAGAAGGGAAAAGTAGTGATTGATAGGTAATATAATTACATTGAATCACTCTCATAATTAGGTGTGTATTGCTTTCCTGCTCTTATTCTCAGTCCCCAAGACCAAATGTATACAACTACCTTCCCACTATATAATTATTTACCCAACATTGTGTAGGTGCCTGTTAAAATGAAGTTTGTCGGGGTCCGGCACATCTGCCGGGGGACTACCGACCTGCGGGAGTCCCCGAGACCGCCAATGTAGATGTTTCGTTCAACCTGAGAGAGAGAGTGCGCGGAAGTGAAGTAATATAGTGGAGTCTGGAGGGCTGGGCAGCGCAGCGAGTGTAGCACAGCACAGCACAGCATCTTTATTCTTGTGGGTTACAGCTTTTTATACCTTTTTTCTTGTTACATTTATTTTATCTCAGTAGAAAGAAAGGGGTAAACAGAAAGGAAACAGAAACTCCATAAAAAATAGTTATCAGGGGCTTGTGATATCCGCTCAGAAAACCGTTTTAAGGGGGCTTGTGATAGTAGTTTACATTTCAAAAATTTTACATTTCAAAGATACAATGGCGCCCTTAAGGTGGCTGGTTAAACCTGTTTTTCATCAGGAGCTAAAACAAAGGCTTAGCTCCAGGGAAAATATGGGCAAAGGTCTCTGCTCCTCTTAGGCATCTCAATTGCAGCAAGTTTATTACTTACACAGAGACTGATGGGGACATGGAAACAGCACAATGTCCTCATAAACTGCAGACCTTTGCTTTGCATTCTGTTATTGCTTCAGTGACTCAGCCCGCGGCCTTTTGTCTCACCTGACGGCCCTCGAGATGGGGAGTGCAGATAGGTCCTGCAGCCAAACTGGGGTGAGTCACGCTGCTGTCTCGAGCCCTTGGCGTGAACTCTGCACACAGAAGTTATATACCTACCTTATAAACTCAACCTTTCCCTATAGTCTTTCTCTCTCACCCCTACCTCCATGCTTTAACTTTTCAGGCTTATGAAATCTGCCTTATCTCTCAGTAGAGCCATGTAAAGGTATCTGCAAAAGCAGGAAAATGTTTCCTGGGAATGAAGCTTTGAAATTGTTTCAATAAAGGTAAATGTAGCATACTACCGACTAACTAAGAAATCGGTTTTTAACTGATTGGGACAGACAGCAAGTGTGTCATCCTGGAAGACAGTATTTGGGATTTTATGTAGGTACATTAAGAGAAAAAAGTGAACAAAAGCGGGCTAATCTAGAACACTGCAGTATGCTTAACATGTACTTTCTAGTAAGTTTGTATTATGCCTTTATCTTGGTACTTTAATCTTCTGTTCTCAGTTGATCTTTCTACATTGTATTTTAAATCCTACTAAAAATATAAAGCCCTGAATTAATAAAGGATTAAATAAAACTTGTATATTTCGCTGCAATTCTGGGGAAAAAAGAGGGTAGGGGGGATTGTCTGGGGTAGTGACTGAAAATTGTTAACAGGTTCTTACCAAGGATTAAGACAACCGCATAATCAGATGTCAGTGGTTACCAAACCTATGAATCACCTGGTGTGCTCTCACCCCCGGTGATTTGGATCAGTGGAACTATGTGGCGTTTAAGGAATATACAATATGTATTGACGTATATATATTTGTGTGTGTGTGTTGAAACCTTCAGGGTTAAATAAGTTTGAACAGTTTAGAAAACATTACTGTTTAAGGTGTCCGTCCACTCTCAAATACAAAGGCCTTTAGAACTTCTCTAATTTACAGTCCAGAAGACTGTAAAATTCCCAACTACAACAACGAGAAACTGTCTACACATCAACACTTGACTAAAAAGCTTTACTATGCATGACAACAGCCTTTGCATTACTCTACTGATACCACTTAACGTCTTGAGACCCAGCAATAAGTATCTATAGATTCACAGCACCTGAAATAATACCAAATTGAGACAAAAAGGCTACGTAAACTAAAAATTGCTTGAACCACAGAATCGAGATGTGCAGGTGTGGGATTAAAGAGTACTATACATGGTTAGGCGTGGTCTAAAAACTATTAAGAATGTTTCAGGTTACTACACAATTTTGCGAGCTCATGACAAATACAATTAACACTTTTTTTCTCAACCCTCCTGAGCATATTTACATTTACCGCACCCGTAGCATTCCTTCTCACTTTGAAAAAGGCAAATTACGTGCACATGATCGTGTCACTGCATGGTAGTTCGACTAAGCTACAGATTATAGACTTACCTTGTATTCCACTCAGGTCATCTGAAAAAAAAAAGGGTAGGTGCTGTGGGAAACCCGTAAGTAGAACCCAGAGAAATAAGTGGGAAAACAGCTTCTTTCACTGAGGCAGGTGAGTAGCTCTGAAAAGAGCCTTTGGAATCAAGCAGCCGGCGACTCCCTTCGGGAGCGGGCGAGCGCCAGGTCCCGGCAGGGGCAAACTTGGAGCTGGTGTACTCGGTGAGCGCCTCGGTGCCCTGGGACACGGCGCGCTTGGCCAGCTGGCCGGGCAGCACCAGGCGCACGGTGGTCTGGATCTCGCGGGACGTGACGGTGGAGCGCTTGTTGTAGTGCGCCGGGCAAGGACTACGCCGCGGCCGCCGCGGCCGCCGCCGCCGCCGCGATGAGCCGGGAGATGTCTTTGAGGAAGAAGTTCAAGATGCCCACGGCCTTGGACGAGACGCCGGTGCACCTCGTACACCCACACGGAGCAGCTCTCCCTGCGGCTGCGCTTGCGCTTCTCGCGGCCCTTCTTTCGCACTTCGGTAACCTTGGGAGGCGGGGCGGACTCTGCAGGCTCAGGCATGGCCAGCCGCACTGGCGACACAGACCCCCCGCCACCAAGAACGCAAGCACCGCCGCGGGACCGGGTTCTACCGGAAGCCAGGATGCACTTGCACTTAGGGAGACCGAGCGCACAGGAAAGTTCCCAAGACGCTGCGTTGTGATTCGCGAGTTTTCCGCGGCGCCCAACGCCAGGGAGACGAGATTATGTAAATGAGTGGATTCTGGCGGAGCTATCCTATTGGCCATCCGGACAAACGGTACTTGAGCCAATCAAAGTGCTCCGTGGACAATCGCAGTTGTGTCTATAAAAGGGTGAGGCGGCGGCGTCTTGGGCGACTTTCCCGGTCGTCAGGCAGGAGGTTTTTCTGAGTGAGTCCTATCGGCTGCAGTCGCTGGCATGTCTGGCCGTGGCAAGCAAGGAGGCAAGGCCCGCGCCAAGGCCAAGTCGCGCTCGTCCCGCGCTGGCCTGCAGTTCCCGGTGGGGCGAGTGCACCGCCTGCTGCGCAAAGGCAACTACGCGGAGCGGGTGGGGGCCGGCGCGCCCGTCTACATGGCGGCGGTCCTGGAGTACCTGACCGCCGAGATCCTGGAGCTGGCGGGCAACGCGGCTCGGGACAACAAGAAGACGCGCATCATCCCCCGTCACCTCCAGCTGGCCATCCGCAACGACGAGGAGCTGAACAAGCTGCTGGGCAAAGTCACCATCGCCCAGGGCGGCGTGTTGCCCAACATCCAGGCCGTGCTGCTGCCCAAGAAGACGGAGAGTCACCACAAGGCCAAGGGCAAGTGAGGCTGCCGTCCGGAAGCCCAGCGCGGCCCGCGTCTCGAAGGGGCACCTGTGAACTCAAAAGGCTCTTTTCAGAGCCACCCACGTTTTCAAATAAAAGAGTTGTTAACGACGGCTACGTACTCTGGACGCAGCCTTTCTCGGTAGCAAACAAGGGACCTGGGGGTGACGGGTCGGAGGGGGCGGGTGTGCCGTGTTGCATGCCGTCCCAGGGCTTCCCGGCGCAGGTGGAGGCACCAAACGTCCTGGACGCCGCGGTCCACTCAGCCACAGGCGCCACCCACCGCGCTTCAGCGTTGTGCGCAAAGCGCGCGCTTCCCCGGCGCTCTCCGCGGAGCCGCGGCCGGCCACTTAGACCTCCTCAAGCGTAAGCGGGAGGTGCTCCTCGCCTCCGCCCACCACGCGGAGGGCCCCGAGTGGCTAGTGCTGCCCGGTGTGGCCGAGCTGGGTCTTGGCTTTGCTGAGCTGACCTAGTCTTGGTTTCCATTTTTGTTTTCCGGGCGGAGAGTAGCGGCCTCGGGGGCGGAATCCTGCGCCCTGGGGACGGACACGTCTCTCACCCAAAGGCACCCCCCCCCCCCCCACCCAACAGGCGAAGTAGCGACTCGGGGTGGAAACGGAAGAAGGTTCCCGGCGGGAGCTGCAGGGCGCAGCGAGAAAGGGGGCTATCGCGGACAGCGGGTTCTAAGGAAGTGAAGGGCGTACAGGCAACAATCTAACACAAGCGGCCATGGAAAACTACTTTGACCCCGAAAGAAAGGGGGAAAACGCTTGCAAAACAGAGGGGGCCGACTGGAAAGTAGAAAGCGAGGCGGGTGGGCGGGGTTAGGGCGGACTCCGCCCGAGCCAACCGGTGACGCGGAGGCGGGTGACGTCACGCCCAATGGACAGCCAGCGCGGGATTTTCAATTATTGCTCCGCCCAATCGGGAAAAGACTGTGCCTATAAAGGCGGCTGCCGCGGGGCCGGGAGCCCGTTTTTCTCCCCGCGGCTGCGTTCCTAAGTTTGTGTTTTGGTTTGCCATGGCCCGTACTAAGCAGACTGCCCGCAAGTCGACCGGCGGCAAGGCCCCGAGGAAGCAGCTGGCCACCAAGGCGGCCCGCAAGAGCGCGCCGGCCACGGGCGGGGTGAAGAAGCCGCACCGCTACCGTCCGGGCACCGTGGCCCTGCGCGAGATCAGGCGCTACCAAAAGTCCACGGAGCTGCTGATCCGCAAGCTGCCCTTCCAGCGGCTGGTGCGCGAGATCGCGCAGGACTTTAAGACGGACCTGCGCTTCCAGAGCTCGGCCGTGATGGCGCTGCAGGAGGCCAGCGAGGCCTACCTGGTGGGGCTGTTCGAAGACACGAACCTGTGCGCCATCCACGCCAAGCGCGTGACCATCATGCCCAAGGACATCCAGCTGGCCCGCCGCATCCGTGGGGAGCGGGCTTGAGAAGTGCGCGCTCGGGTCGGAGGTTCCATCGTACCCAAAAGGCTCTTTTCAGAGCCACCCACAGCAGCACTTGGAAGAGGCTGTACCGCTTGCGGTCCGTGCTCCTCCGGCCTTAAGGGCGGGGAAAGCATTTCCAGCGAGGTCCCCGCAAAACTCAGGGTCGGGTGCCCTGGCTGCAGTGCCGCCTTGAGCTTTGCCAACCAACCTAGGTCAGCTATCCTGGGCGCCACCAGCTCACGCCGTTTCGCTCCCGGGCGCCGGCTTGCGGGCTTTGCCGGCCCCGCTCTTCCCGCGCTTGACGGGGACCCAGCGTTGGATGGGTAGCGGGGAAAGGAGAGACGCTTCGGGCCCGCGTCCAGGGGACACTCGGGGACAGCGCCTGGCCTTTTCGGAGATGGAGTGCTACATGACCCGGCTTCGCGCCCAAACTTACCCCGCCCGGTGGGCGCGGCCGCCCGGCTACGGAGGGAATTCGCCACCTCGGCCTTGCTGGGGTTCTGGGGGCAAACGTGCAGAGAGAACTGTGCTGGGGTGCCGGTCGGGTGTCGGTGAGGCCCGCCCCACCACCGGCACAGTGGCGAGCCCCGTATCCTGCCCTTAAGCCAGAATTCCCGGAGGGTGCAGGCGGGCTTTTGTTAATCTGAGCTTCATCTTCTGCAGAGACCCTATCCCGATCCCTGCAGTGTGTGTGTGTGTGTGTGTGTGTGTGTGTGTGTGTGTGTGTGTGTGTGAGAAATGGTCTCACTCATCAGGCTGGAGTGCAGTAGCACAATCAAAGCTCACTGCAGTTTTGGACTCGGATCAGCGATTATCCCACCTCAGCCGTCTGAGTAGCTGGGACTACAGGCATACACTACCATGACTGGGTTAGTTTTTAATTTTTTTTGTAGAGACAAGGTCTCACTTCCTTGGCCAGGCTGGTTTCCAAGTCCTGGGCTCAAGCCATCCCGCCTTGGCCTCCGAAAATGCTGGGCTTATAAGACGTGAGCCACTGCTACACCAATGTTTCCGTCTCGCAGACAGGTCCCTCTGGATGGATACCAGGCACTTCAAACCCAGCTTATTTCCAAAACCTCATGCATCATCTTGCTTTCCAAACCGATCTGTTTCCACATTCTTCATCTTCATGGAACACACCTTCACTACCTCTGTCTCTACTGGTCAGGTGTCCCTTCCTCTCGTCCTCTGTCCAAATCCTGTGAGTTCCAAATGTTACTAAATCTACCTTCTGACTTTCAATCGTATCACCTTTTCTCCATCCTCCCATGACCATACCTCAACTGAAGCCCTCACCAGCTCTGGTCTGGTAGGTTAGATAGTCAGGCTGGTCTTTTCTGCCCTGCCACCGAGTTTCCACTCTATGAGAGCTGTCTTTAAAAAAATGAGGGTTTCGTTTTTTTGTTTGCTTTCTGTTTTGAGCCTCTCACTTTCATGCTTAAAATTTTTCTGCGACCTTCCCATTCCCTTCAGGATTAAGTTAACATTCCTTTGCATGGCAATTCACAGCACTAGAGGCTAATAACCAGGAAGGACTGGAGTTGGACAAAATCAAGTTTGAATCCCAACCTTTTCCATGTAAACAGGTGAATGACTTTAAGGATTTGCCATGCGGATTTGTAGGCAGCGCGGATTTGCAGGCTCGGGCACGGCCAGACGGACTATCGACACAGACCCCCGAGAACGCAAGCACAGCCACGGGACCGAGTAGATCAGGAGGCAGATCTCCATAGGCCTAACTTTTCCCGTCTGTAAAATGGGGGTAGCAGTTACTTGCTCATACTTTTGTCGGAAATAGTAAAGTGACAATTTCTGTAAAGTATCTAGCACAAGCCATGTGTGGTGGCTCATGCCTGTAATAATCCCGGTGACTCAGGAGGCTGAGGCAAGAGGACTGCTAGAGGCCAGTTCGAGACTGTGGTGAGCTGTGACCTTATTAACACACTTCAGCCTCAGTGACAGCAGTGAGACCCCGTGTCTTAAAAAAAGACCTTGCACAGTATTTGGCGCAGAACAAGAGCCCCATCAATTTTTGCTGCTCTATTAGCAGTTACTAATTTAGAAGAACTCAAAGTATCACACATCTAGTTCCTCATGTTTCCCACAGCCTTCTCAGGTTTCAGATGTTTTTGCAGCCGAACAAGATTATTCTAGCCCCGCTCGGCATCTGCAATCTCCAAGCATGCAGCATCTTCACACTTTCTGTTTCTGTCCGGAACGTCTTCCCCTTCTGTGTGACCCTAAGAACCCCCATTCTTCAAGAGTCAGCCCTGTGAGCCTTCCCTTGCTCTTCTTTGCCCTCATCTCTTTGGGCCCTCCTTGCTTCTGCCCTCTCTTATCCTAATAACCCTTCCCTTCCTTACCTGGTGGCCTTAAGTACAGTGAAACCGTGTCTCAAAAAAAAAAAAAAAAAGAAAGAAAGAAAAAGAAAACTACACTGAGTGGGAAAGATGATAAAACATCAGCTTTCGTTTCTACATCACTTCACGGCCTCATTTTTCTTTCGCATAGAACGTTTCCTTTGATCCCTAAAATGAGGCTGTGACAAAGGCAGGAATGCTCAGTAATCGGCCGGGTGCGGTGACTCACGCCTGTAATCCCAGCACTTTGGGAGGCCGAGGCGGGCCGATCGCACGAGGTCGGGAGTTCGAGACAAGCCTGGCCAATGTAGCGAAGCCTGGTCTCTACTAAAAATATACAAAGTAGCTGAGCATGGTGGTGGTCCCCTGTAATTCCAGCTACTTGGGAGGCTGAGGCAGAAGAATCACTCGAACCGGTGAGGCAGAAGTTGCGGTGATCCGAGATGGCGCCATTATTACTCCAGCGTGGTTGACGACAGCAAGATTCCACCTTGGAAAAAAATAAAATTCTCAGTAACACTAAAGATGTGAAAATTTAACTTTGACAGAGGTAGGATTTCTCATGGTTTGTGTACTTCAGATTACCTACCTACCTAAACTTCTGATCGTTTTGGGGAAAATTATATTCACGCTTATTTTAAGAAATTCAAACTATTAGAAATGTTCAATGAAGATAAGCCCTTATAAATCATTCTTAAATTTTTGTGAGCATTTTTCCTGACAATTATCTATATATTTATCCGTATTTATGTGTACTAGTAACATTCTGCATAAATATCAGTTCCGTTCCTTTGTTTCAAGTAAGGAACTAACACGTACATCACTGGCTAGAGAGTGAAGTACAGAGTAAGAGGCTGCAAAGGAAGGGAAGAAGAATGCAGTAAAGGATGAGCTACGCAGAGAGGTAAGGGGCGGGTAACGGGAAGAAAGACTTCAAATGGGTCCACAGTGAAGTCTGATCAGCCAGTGGTGGGCCATGCAGGTGCCTGTGTGACCACGGTAATGGGAGTAGACCCACAGACCGAACTCTATAATCATTTGTATGTGTCTGAGTGGAAGTCTTGAATTCATCTAGGGAGGGAAGGAGGTGGCAGACAGAAGCCGGCTCGTGGAGAGCTACCGAAGGATTGAAATGGGAAGGAAATTATTTGGGGGGCAAATCAAAGAGAGAAATTTTATGCCTTGCTATTAAAGATGGCTAAAAATAGCATTATATCCTTCACTGTAATAGATGGTTCAGAAAAAGGGACTTTTATTAATGTAAAACCATACATAGCTGCGTATTCCGTGACTTGGCAATGTTCGGGGGCCGACAGCTCATAGAGGACTTAGCCGTGTCTATACCATAATAGCATGTGGTGGACTCGACATGGTGGGAGCAAGGGCGAGTACTAATGTCACTATAAAGAAGATGTACACAATGACGTGCAATGGTAAAGGACAAGATATTGGAGAAATCTTGGAAGAAAAAAGAAAACACATCCATTAGTTACAAACTTAAGTACTATTAGAAGTAGAAACTGATATTTACTAAAACAAGCCGGCTACATTTTTCATTCATACGTCTTGTCTGTCTGCCCCAAATTCTTTGAAGAAACAAAGGCTGTTTCACCTTTTTCCGTCTATGTTTTTTTTGCTACAAGAAATGTATTAGGATCATCCATATGGTTTCTTTTCCGTCAAAGAAAGCAAAATTTAACATTTGGGAAACATCTGGGCAACATATGTTCAGATTCTAAATACGTTTTCATTAAAACAAAAACTGCTTGAGAGAGAGAGAGAGAGAGAGAGAGAGAGAGAGAGGAGAGAGAGAGAGAGAGAGAGAGAGAAAAGAGGCCAGGTGCAGGGATCCCGGCACTTCAGGAGGCTACGGCGGGTGGATGACCTGAGGTCAGGAGTTCGAGACCAGCCTGACCAACGCGACAAAACCTCGGCTCTACTGAAACTACAAAAATTAGCGCAGCTAAAACTACAGGTGGTGGCACCTGTAATCCCGGCTGCTTGGTAGGGTGAGGCTGCAAAATCGCTTGAACCTGGGAGGTGGAGGTTGCAGTGAGCCAAGATTCCACCATTGCACTCCAGCCTGGGTGACAGAGTGAGACTCCGTCTCAAAAAAAAAAAAAAAAAAAAAAAAAAAAAAAAAAAGACAGAAAGAGCTATTATCTACATCAGTGGTTTTCAAACTTTAATATGTATCAGAATCACCAGGAGGGCTTTTTCAAAAGTACCAATTACACGGTCTCATCCCTCAGTGTCTCATTCAGTGGGGCCCAAGATTTTTTTATCCCAGGTGATCAATACCGATAGATGAGAGGCTACACTTTGAGAACAATGGATGTGTTTTCCATTGTTGGATGGATGAGAGGCTACCCTAATTCAAATAACGGGTGTTTTCTACCCCACTCCCTTCTTTCTTATTTCTCTTCAAATTTTATCTCCTTCTTTAGTGGATCTTGGTGAGGATCAGATATATTCATCAGCATTGCCTTTAAAGGTTAAAAAAAAAAAAAACAAACAAAAAAACAGTGATATTTCAAATAGGAATGCTGGAAATGACAGGTCAGATCTGAAAGGGAAAGGAAACATCCGGAGCATTAACACTTCTGTTTCCCACCTGGACATCTTCACACATGTTATTCTTGCCACGTCCTCCCTGCCCCCGTCCCCTTTACTACGTAGCTCATATCTCATAACGGGCCTTTTTATTGAACGCAGGAAATGATACTTTTCAGGCAATGGGCAGATAACCCGCCAGTAGGACAGCAAGCATTCTGCTCTTTATTCAGAGTCCGACACAAACCCCCACGTCCATGGACAAGTTTTCCCTAGTCTCCCAGCAGCCAGTGACATCTGTAGCATTTGGGCTCCTATAGTATTGTCTAAGTTTCTCATCATATTGAATACGTACGGCCTCTTACTCTTGGCTTTGCCATTTCCTCCTAACTGCGTACTGGTGTGGATTTATGTCGCCTACATATTATGCATTTATTTCTCTTCTCCCGTCTGATGCTAAGCTCCTGGAGGGCAAGTCTCGCATCCGCTGCTTTGCTGGCAACCCGATTGCCAAGTACCGTGTTTTAAGCCTAGTTCCTTCTCAAGTGTCTGATGCTGATGAGAGCAGTCACGTCCGAAGACCAGTAAAGCAACTACTGGTTTATCATTTGGGAGCTGACAGATTTTATTCTCTCAAGTACATACACCGTCCAATTTCGCTGTAAAATCGTAGGCCTAGAATGCAGAAAATGATAATAATAATAATAATAATAATAACAATAATAAAGAGTTAAATAAGTAAATAAACTTCTGGGCAATGCAATGGCTGCAAAGCTATTAATTTAGGGCTTAGAACTGCGAACCCGTTTCAATCCAAATTAGGGCCACCTAGAGGTGGCAGTGTAGAAGTGCAGAGAACAGCTTTCTGTGATCTAGGCCGTGCTGATATAGAATAATTAGCTTTTGCCTCGTCAAAATGGAATCGTGCTTTCTGTACTGACGGCGGGCACGTTGCTGCAGGTCTCTCATTCTAAGCTACAACGGGCCCTGAGAGGTAGAAGCCACATACCTGGATGGCCCGTTTCTTGAAGTTGCTTTAAGATCATATCCTTGAGTCACTATTATAGAGGGATCACATTAAAATGTCTCTTCATCTATATCCTCGCAATGCCACGACCGAGACGGTCATCTCACAGGTCCTTGATTAAGTTAAGGGGCCTTGTTACTGAACACAAGAAATGACAGTTTTCAGGCACTGGGCACTAACTTGCCAGAAAGGCGTTTTTCAACTGTACGAAGATTGATCTGCAAAGTCACACTTTTATTTGAAGTGAGTTGAGTGCGTCTTAAGACAGCGTAGACCATGAATGGACCCTTAGACGAAGGCACGTAGTCCACCCGCTGGTTATGTAAGGGCAAAACGAAGCCCAGAAAGGTTAACTGACGAAACCTGAACGGATCAGGTGAGAGCCCGCACCTCTAAAACTAAGGCTACTCTCCCCACTTTGCCTGAGCGAAGAGTGAGATTACACAGCAAGGGACGCTTAAATGGCCAGTGCCTCATTACGTCCGGACCCCGACACCCCTAGGTGTGCCTACACTGCGCAAGAGCGAACCGAAAAAAGCAGCGCTCGAACCTAGAGCACATTCGACCTTTCGCATGGAAAAAGGCTAAAATAAGCCCAGGCAAGCAAAAGGTCAACGACTGAAGCCCCCTAAGGCTGCGAGTTGTACGGACACCAGCTGTCTGTTAACTTCAGATCCGACTGCCGCCCCGCTGGCAAAGTTACGTTCCCGCACGGTTACTGTTGCACTTTACGCAGTCAGGTGCTCAGCTCCTCAGATGAGCAAGTGGTCGGCCCTAAAAAGGGCCTTTGGGACGGAAACGTGCAAAGCCGTGAGCGGCGGCCTAGCCTCCAAAGCCGTACAGGGTGCGCCCCTGGCGCTTGAGCGCGTACACCACATCCATGGCCGTGACGGTCTTGCGCTTGGCGTGCTCCGTGTAGGTGACCGCGTCCCGAATCACGTTCTCCAGGAACACCTTCAGCACACCGCGGGTCTCCTCGTAAATCAGGCCGGAGATCCGCTTAACGCCGCCACGCCGAGCTAGACGCCGAATCGCCGGCTTGGTGATGCCTTGGATGTTATCTCTCAAGACCTTGCGGTGGCGCTTGGCGCCCCCTTTGCCGAGGCCTTTTCCGCCCTTTCCTCTGCCAGACATGACCGCTGCAGCCCGGAAGACGGCTTCTGTCCGGGCGAGGGCCGCCTTCCCCTGATATACAAGACTGTCGGACCAGATTGAAAACCGAAAGCGCGCCGGCGGGAAGCGTTCTCAGTTGTCCCCGCCCTCTCGACATTTCGTCATTTCTTTTCTGCTTTCCTCTTCTTCCTTCTCAGGGCTCTCTCACTCTCGCCCTTTCCTTTGTTGTTGTTCGCCCTTCATCACTGCGCCACAGTCCCCGGGAGAATTCAGATCCCATCCCGCGGCGTCGGGATTCTGCCGGGGCTTTGGCCTGTGTCTGGTGTGAGGACGCCCGGAGGGCGTGCAGAGCCTAAGGGGAAAGGTCTGGAGGGAGCCCCAGGAAGAGCAAACGGAGGCCGGAGACCGGCAGGAGCGCGCCAGCTCAGCGTTTAATCCCGACGAACGGATTCCCAGCTGCGCTTGTGTAAAATTGCAGGAAGCGCCGTTCCGACGAGGAGGCGGACACGCGAGAGGCGACCTCAAGAGCGGCGGCGCCGGGGATCTGTGCGCCAAGGGACGGCGGGAGGGGGCGGGTTCGCCATAATTCCCGGCCCTAGGCTGTTTTGTTGCACCGAGCCGCCCTGCTTCCGCTCACCCGGGAGCGATCTGGTCCTGGGAAAACGTGTCAGCACGCTGCCGAGCTTTCTCCTGGAGGTCAGCGAAGCGAATCCCAACACCAACACACTGTCAGCCAGAGCCGTGCTGGGAGAAGCAAAACGGTTCTCCCTCGGTATCGGAGGGGGATTGATTGGTTCCAGGGCTCCCGCCGACACCAAAGTCCAGGATGTTCCAGTCCCTTGTAGAAAATGGCGTAGGATTCGCACGTAACTGTGCACAACCTCCCGGGTACTGTAAATAGTCTCTAAATTACTTCATAACGCCTAACCCAGTGCAAATGCTACGTAAGCAACTGTTACGCAGTTTCTATTTTTACTGTCTTTTGTTGTACCGGGTTTTAAAACAATTCATTTGATACTTTCGATCTCGAGGAACGGGCGTATACGGACGGCCTGCTACGAGCATAGGGAGGACTGAGGCATGTTCTGTGCATCCCTTTCTGCAGATCCTCTAAATCGGCCTTTGTTCTCGGCCAGGATTAAGGGCCCCACTGTGTCTGTCCTTTGGAGGCTCCACATGGAGCCAGCAGTTTGCCAGATTGGGTCTTGCTAGAGGACTATCCGCTCCACACTGGGAGTAATGACCAGAAACTGCGCTATGAAATTGGTTGCGGTTCTTACCGTTAACACGTTTATTACTTTATCGGGGCCCTCTGTGTGGGAGTCTAGGAGAAAATGTCCTGGTTTCCGCTGAGAGAATCGTGTTTTGTTGGGGATTTTTTTCCGGAAGAATATTTTTAAAAGAACTGATGTGCCCTGTTTAATCTCTCCCTTGGCTCCACCTTCCGTGTGCTCCTAAGTCTTGAATCTATGTTCAGACGTCTAGACTGAAACATGGGGACCCACCTCGTGGCTCTTCAGTCATTTTAAGCTCAAAACTCTTCAGCTCCCCAAATCAAAGCGTTTAAACTTAGAACCTCCAGGGGGTGACGCACGGAGGATGACAGAGCAGTTCTCTCTCTCCGCATAAAGCTGGTTCTCAAGTCGGCTTGTTGAACGGTTCCACCACGCATCACAGCGTCCACCTGCCTAAACCAACACCCCGGCACTGGCGACACATGTCTTCCGCTCCCTCGTCCGCTTCGGGGCGTAGAGGAAACATGTTTGCCATTTTCTGACTCTTTAGTAACTCTCGCAGAAGCTATCACATTATTTCACATTTCCTTATATCTTGGCGTGTTTTCCTTACTGGCAGTGATTTTTTATTTTCCCCCATCTTGGCTGTGTTTTCCTTAGTGGCAGTGATTTCTTATTTTGGGGGGCGGGGGTTGGAGGAGGGGGGAACGGACTCTCGGTATGTTGTCTTCCAGGCTGGAGTGCAGTGGCGTGATCTTGGCTCACTGCAACCTCTACTGCCCCGGGTTCAAGGGATTCTTAGGTAGCCTCCGGAGTAGCTGGGATTACAGGCGCGTGCCATCACCCCACCCCTTGTTTAGCATATAATCATGAAATAAGCATAAAAACGGACAAACAGCAGCCCTCGGGGCCATTCTCTCTATGGAGTAGTCATTCCTTTATTCCTTTACTTTTCTAATAAACTTGCTTTCACTTTATATACTTGCCCTGAATTCTTTCTTGCCCAAGATCCAAGCACCCTCTCTAGGGGTCTGGATCGGGACCCCCTACCTGTAACATATTCCAGTGGAATATGTTACATAAATAAAGGCGGAAATTGTAAAATTTGAGCTGCACATTACAGGTAGTATTAGGGAGCAGTAGAAAGGAGACGGGTGCCAAGTTTTATCAATGAGCAGGATATTTAAGGAATGAGTTTATCTCCTAATGGGGTAAGGAAAAAAGCTGGCTCATGAGTGAGACTCATGGCTTCTTCAACTTGGTCCAGGGCTGCAGACCAGTCAAGAGAAATTCAAATCGGGCACAGGGCCCGAACCCACAAAGCAAAAATTGAGCTTGTCTCAGCCTATGATACTTACAACCCTGAGGGTACTTGAAGGGAAAAATGAAACATTAACTGTCTTATTGGAACATATATATTAACCTAGTCCATTTCGTATTAAAAGTAAACACATGGACATACAAAACATTACATGCCTAATAATTCACTTATTAATATTTTCCTTTGCTTGCTTATTGCTTATGTGGTAAATTTTAAACTTCTCTTTTCTATTCCCTAGTGCTACCGAATGAAATTTCAGTTCTTGGTATTCAAAGATACACACCCTTATAATTTCTGCTGAGGGACACTTCAAAAATTCTAGAAGAAATATTCCGTCTCCATTACAGTTGCAGAAAAACCGTTTCTTTTGCATCATAAAGCTACTTCTAATAAAGTGTTGGATTGAGACCTTTCATAAAATTTCACTCTCGAGTCCAGTGTGGGGACTAGGTGAAACTGAACCAGCTAATGGATCTTAATTCTGTTATTAAAGATGACTTCTGGCCGGGCGCGGTGGCTCACGCCTGTAATCCCAGCACTTTGGGAGGCCGAGGCGGGTGGATCACGAGGTCAAGAGATCAAGAACATCCTGGTCAACGTGGTGAAACCCCGTCTCTACTAAAAATACAAAAAATTAGCTGGCCACGGTGGCGCGTGCCTGTAATCCCAGCTACTCGGGAGGCTGAGGCAGGAGAATTGCCTGAACCCAGGAGGCGGAGGTTGCGGTGAGCCGAGATCGTGGCATTGCACTCCAGCCTGGGCAACAAGAGCGAAACTCCGTCTCAAAAAAAAAAAAAAAAAAGAAAAAGAAAAAAACTCTCAAAGATAATAATTTGCTAACAGATTTCGACATTGTGTTTAGTGTTCAGGAAGTATCCTGAAAATCACTGTTACTGTCCTTTGCGTTCAGTAGATTCATAATGACACCCTCAAAGTAAGTTTATAAACTTTAAAAAAAAAGAAGAAAGAAACTTCTCAGGCCTGCCTTTCTCAGGTTTGAGTTTTTATAGTTTGTACGCAATGATTTTTCAATTAAATAAGCATATGATTAAAAGTTTTACGTTAACTAGTACAGCTTTTAATGATCAGTTACTTCTCCATAACCATTATAATATTTGCTGCTGTGAACAATACAGACTTCAAAGCACATGAAATTGAAAAAGCAAAGCATCTTTACTTTTCACAGAGAACAGAAAAAAATATTAAACTTTGAAGCATTAGGAAACATTGAATACAATGTTAGCAAATCAGCAACTGAATAAGTTATTTTGAAACTTTAACTCGTAATCTGGCCAATAAGCGCTTATTTACAAAGTATTCTACATTGTAAAGGAGACATTACTATTTCTGGTGTTGTCCTTTGATTTAGAAGGTATAATCTGCAGGACCTAATTGGCCACTGATGTGAGGGTGAGGAAGAAGAAACCACATCGCAGGACGAAAGTGCCAAAGGAAAGCGGAGGCTTTAATATCAGGTCGATACAGGTCAACACACTACCCAGATGAAATGGCTTTGGGCTCCGAGGTCAAGTAAATAAGTTCAATTTTTTCATTTTGCTTCAATTATATATTGTTTTGTTAAGCTTAGGTCATGCATGGTAAAATGCATGTAATTTGCTGAGCGAAGTGCCAGAAGCGAAATAAATGTTAGCTACGGTAGAAGCGCTACAGTAACAGGTAACTTGAAACAGGCTGATAGCTCACAGAAGGGAATGCTTGAATTTGGAAAACAAATTGTTTAAATGGAATGCAAAACACTTTATACATTGCTTTTACAGAAGTTACATCAATTTAAAGGAAAGGTTTTCCAAAATAATCTGTGATCGACAAAATTACAGAAAAGAATCTGGAAAAGGGGAATGAAGGAATCAGGGAAGATTAGCAAAACAATTTTATGCCTAGGTAAATAAGATTGAATTTTAACCAATGAGATCACAAGTTTGACAATTTCTTCCTTTCAGGCCAAATCCAGAGGAAGCTATGTCTATAAATAGGACGGCCAAACCTTTATATCAATGAGACAGAATGGCCCGTACTAAGCAGACTGCCCGCAAGTCGACCGGCGGCTAGGCCCGGAGGAAGCAGCTGGCCACCAAGGCGGCCCGCAAGAGCGCGCCGGCCACGGGCGGGGTGAAGAAGCCGCACCGCTACCGTCCGGGCACCGTGGCCCTGCGCGAGATCAGGCGCTACCAAAAGTCCACGGAGCTGCTGATCCGCAAGCTGCCCTTCCAGCGGCTGGTGCGCGAGATCGCGCAGGACTTTAAGACGGACCTGCGCTTCCAGAGCTCGGCCGTGATGGCGCTGCAGGAGGCCAGCGAGGCCTACCTGGTGGGGCTGTTCGAAGACACGAACCTGTGCGCCATCCACGCCGAGCGCGTGACCATCATGCCCAAGGACATCCAGCTGGCCCGCTGCATCCGCGGGGAGCGGGCCTAAAGCGTGTTTAAGTGGTGGATCTAAAGGCTCTTTTTAGAGCCACTTCCGTTTTCATCAAGAGCAGCTGTACCGGCTCTCCAGCTGACGTGTGTCTGCCTTGCTCACCGGTGGAGGCCAGGGACACTCGCAGTGGTGGGTAGGGTTACAAAGCCCAGGTGGGAGCTGGCTGGCGGTAGAGAAAGCCGCAGAGGCATGGTCCTTGTGGTTCCGGCCGAGACTTAAGGCTAGAGCTCCGGTTCCCAATTCTGTGGGGAATGTTGTGCATAGGGGCAAGAGACAATGTGCTGAATCCCGAGATGTGGAAGATCGTACTGGGGTGGGGCGAGTGTCTTAAAACTTCAACTCGCTTCCGGGTTTATTTAGGAACTGTATAAGCAATTAAAGCACAGCGTCTTCATTGCGTACCACAGGCGGTGCTCAAACCAGAATAGTAATTTAAGTGTGTGGGGGGGTAAATACTTAGCGATTTAAAAAAAGTGGGCTGAGGTAATGTTCCAAGAACCGAGAGAACAAAATTTCTGGCAAAGCATAGAATAAAAATGCAAAAACAAGATAAAAGTTATCTTTAGCTGGCGTTAAGGTTTCTTCTGTAAGCAACTGTCAAGGAACGAAAACCAAGAAAAAAGTCGGAGGCGGTTGAAACAAGCACTTCACCTAGCTTAAAACCCGCTAGTGTGAAATAGATAATTCTGATTGGATAACAAGACTTTTGTTCTAGTGACCACTAAGGAAACAAGACCAGAATCTATTATTTACATAAACCCCGCCCCCTCTGACGACACAGTTGTAAATTAACCAATAAAAATGCAGCACCGTGCGAGTCTTCATTTGCATACAAGCTCTATAAGTAGCGCGTAACCAGCCCGTTTTGCCCTAGTCGGGATTACTTCTCAGTCTCTGTTGCTTTTTCGTGCAAAAATGCCGGATCCAGCAAAATCCGCTCCTGCTCCCAAAAAGGGCTCTAAAAAGGCTGTTACGAAAGTGCAGAAGAAGGACGGCAAGAAGCGTAAGCGCAGCCGCAAGGAGAGCTACTCTGTGTACGTGTACAAGGTGCTGAAGCAGGTCCACCCCGACACCGGCATCTCGTCCAAGGCCATGGGCATCATGAACTCCTTCGTCAACGACATCTTCGAGCGCATTGCGGGGGAGGCGTCCCGCCTGGCTCACTACAACAAGCGCTCCACCATCACGTCCCGCGAGATCCAGACGGCAGTGCGCCTGCTGCTGCCGGGCGAGCTGGCCAAGCACGCCGTGTCCGAGGGCACCAAGGCGGTCACCAAGTACACCAGCTCGAAGTAAGGGTGTGCAAAGGACGCAACAGATCAACCACCTTACCCCAAAGGCTCTTTTCAGAGCCACTTCAGTAATCAAGAAAAGGGCTGTAAACACTTGTCAGAGCGTTGGATAGCTTTTGGTCAGGGAGGGAGGGTGACCAAGGTTGGATGCGTTCGGGTTTAGGACTGAGGAGTTTCTTGTAGTCTAGTAATGCGTTACCACTCAGTCATTCTCGCCCAGCGTTACCGAGTGGCCTGTTGTATTGGGACTAGGGAGTAGGCTTGACCACGGTTCTGGGATGTTTTTGATTGATGGGGGTTTCCCCACCCTTTCAACCTTGTACGTGTGTCTCCACGGTCGTTTTATTTTTTTCTGAAAGTAATGACCAAGCTGAGATTTCTTATACAGATGAGAAATCTTTTCAGTCCAACCTCTCGCTACGTGCTGTTTCTCAGTGTTTTAACCTTTTTTCCTTATATACCTCCAAGCGTTCGTAACAAGCATTGTGTAATATAGCCATGTGCTTTCGTCCCTTAGCTTCTCTGTAAGTCCTGACTTGGCCGTCCTCTCCTAACTTCCATTCCAGTGACTTCAATCGGGGAGATATATTGCCACCGCCCCCACCCCCTGTGGAGCATTTGGCAATGTCTACAGATGTTTTTGGGTTGTCAGGTGGGTAAGAGGGGGTGCTACAAGTATCCAGTGGGCAGATGTCAGCAGTGCTGCTAAGCATAAGGCACAGGACAGTCCTGTGGGGGAACAAAGAGCTACCTGGTCTATAATGTCCATCTTTGGCGATTAAGAGACCTCAGAGCCCAAGACCTCCCTAATCACGATGTAATCTTCATTTCAGCCAAACTTTTCCTTAACCCTACCAGCACATGTTTTTGTTGTTGGAAGCTGAGCACTCCATAGGCTGTTTACAAGTCCTTCTCCACAGGAAAAGGCCTCCAGGGCAAGGACCCAGTCTTCCTTCTGTAACAAACTTCCCCGATTATAAGGATCATAAGAATTCCCCTTGTGCTTGTTAAACCCGCTCCCAGGTGTTTCTCCTGAGGTTTCCCTATTCAGCTAGGCTGGAGGTGCAACCTGGAGAGGTGGTTGGCTCTTAGTGTTCAGGAGTGGGAATGTTTTAATAGATGTTGAGTCCTCATGTTAATTAACCTGTTGGTGTGTCAGTCTCTGTCACAGATGTTCTGAGAAAGGAAACAATTTGAGAATGAGTGGAGGGGATTGTGTAGAGAAGGCCACAGTTAATATGTGGGATGAATTTCTGAAGACCTCTCAGTTCAAAACTTGCCTAAGTCAAGACTCATCCTGACAAAAGCCAGTGGATGCTTCTTTTGCCAAATATACCGTTGGTACAATTGGAAAATCTTAGTTTATAATTAACTTGACAACCTTTGAAATTAAGCCATTCTTGATAAATCTTGGGGGAATTAACACAACTTTGTGCTTAAAGTGAATTTTGCTGATTTTTATGATGTTGGAGTTCAAGTGTATAAAATGTGATATATATGATTTTCTTTTTCTACTAGAAAATTAAGATTCCCAGTTTAGTCATCTTTTTCTGAGGATCACCAGGCAAGAAGTCAGAGAAAGATAACTGGGAATCGAAAATTTCCAGTGGAAAAAAATATATATAGCACATTTCTGGTGGGAAAGGTTACTCATTAAGTGAAAAGGCCGAGGTGGTGTATTTTCCATACAGTTGGGCCATAAGAGTCTATCCAATCTCCTAGCTTAGGGTCCTGAAGTCAGGAGTTCCTTTTTTCCTAAGGATTAGGAACCATGTGTTTCAGGGTCTTTTGAAGTTGTTAAAGCATTGTCAACTGGCTTAACTACACAAATGCCATCATTACCCACTGACCAAAAGATTGACTTCCAACTCCTTATCCTGAAACTAAAGGCCACCGATTATCTAGCCAAAATTTACCTCCTTCAATTGTTCTCCTCAGTTGTCCAGCTTAGCTTAAATGTTCTACTGGCTGGGAGCGGTGGCTCACACCTGTAATCCCAGCACTTTGAGGCAGGCAGATCATGAGGTCAGGAGTTTGAGAACAGCCTGGCCAATATGGTAAACCCCATCTCTACTAAAAATACAAAAATTAGCTGGGCATGTTGGTGCATGCCTGTAGTCCCAGCTACTCCAGAGGCTGAGGCAGAAGAATTGCTTGAACCCAGGAGGTGGAGGTTTCTGTGAGCTAAGATTGTGCCACTGCACTCCTGCCTGGGAGACAGAGGGACTATGTCTCAAAAAAATAAAAAAAAGTTCTAGTAAGTGTCCTGTAAAGAAAGCATCTTAAGTTTATCTTCTGTGCTTTTGTTACATTGTTCTGGGTTTTACTACTCAGTCTTGGTCCTCTAGACTACTTGAAGCTCCTTATCTAACTGCCAGGTCTTTTTTTTTTTTTTTTTTGAGACAGAGTTTTGCTCTTGTTACCCAGGCTGGAATGCAATGGCGTGATCTCGGCTCACCGCAACCTCCGCCTCCTGGGTTCAGGCAATTCTCCTGCCTCAGCCTCCTGAGTAGCTGGGATTACAGGCATGCGCCACCGTGCCCAGCTAATTTTTTGTATTTTTAGTAGAGACAGGGTTTCACCATGTTGACCAGGATGGTCTCAATTTCTTGACCTCATGATCCACCCGCCTTGGCCTCCCAAAGTGCTGGGATTACAGGAGTGAGCCACCACTCCTGGCCCTAACTGCCAATTCTTTAAACTCGCTCAAATCTCACTCTGAGAAGGCTTTTCCTCTCATTGCAGTTCACAGGGAAGTCTTTCCCTTAAGGCCTAATTTCTTGCACAATGAACAACTGTGTAGCTTTGTAAACTGTAGCCTTATTCCTCAATTTCTTTTTCTTGTTTTTACATTTTCTTGTTCGTCTTCTACTAGAGACATATGCTTCTTGCTATTCCACAAAGCCTATCCCAATCCCTGCTATAAAATAGCTTGTGAATGAAAGTTTGTTGACTGGTTGCCAAGTCAAGAGAACACTAGAAAACCGATCTGAGAGAGTGGTAGGTTCAAGTACTCTAGTAAATATTTTTCTCTACTTTTTTCCTATGTATTTTTTAATCTTACTCCTTTAGCCTGGCTACTCTTTTAATTATTGCCCTTAATAATTATTGGCCCAGTTGAAACAACTGTTACAGATTCAAAAAATCCTCAGAGTGGTAGCTAAACTACCACACCTGGCATCTTCCCTTGAGCCAATGTATCTATGTAGCCAAAATGATGAGATTGAAGTGGAGCTTTCTCACCCTGGTTTGAGGTGCTGGAGAAATGATCTGCTTTTCTAGTGCCTTGAAAAAGGATGAGAAGAGAGGTGCTTTCCAGAAGACAGAAAAGGTGTGTAGTATCAGGTCAGAGAACACTGCACATTAGAAATGGGCTTGGCCTGGATCAGGGCATTGAGACTGATTACATAATCTTTTCAAGGATTGGTGAATGAGTTGGAATATGTGTAGAAACCTACAAAGATGACAGTTTAATTTTTTGTCATAATTTTTAGACAAATAATGTATTTTAAAACTGGGTGCACTGAGGCAGGCGGATCACCTGAGGTCAGCAGTTCAAGACCAGCCTGGCTAACGTGGTGAAACCCCATCTCTATTAAAAATACAAAAAAAAATTAGCCAGGTGTAGTGGCACATGCCTGTAATTCCAGCTACTCAGGAGGCTGAGGCAAAAGAATCACTTAAACCCACGGGGTGGAGGTTGTGAGCTGAGACCGTGTTATTGCAATACAACTGAATTTGGACATCTATAGTCTAAGTATAGGACAACAGATGGGAAATAAGTACATGACCTCTGTGGGATAAATTAGGATTCATCAAAGAATGCCATTGTTGAACAAGGAAGGAACAAGCTTGTTTTGGAGGATTGCTGGATATTATGGAAGATATTTTTTCTGTGTTTGGTCAACTATACCTGAACTATAGCAGATCATATGACTTGGCAAAAATATAAAACTTGAGAAAAATCTTCTAAGTCCCACGATGCCAACCTGAACAAACTTTGAAAAGTAAAAGTAGGCCGTGTTTTCTCATGGTGTTTTATCAAATATACATTGAACATATAATCCTTGCCCCTCAGCCAGGTTGCAACATTTTCTTTTACTTTATCTCTTTAATAATTTATTTTAATCAATTTTATTTTGAAAAAACTGAGCTAGAGGATACAAAGATGTAAATGAATGTAAAAGAATTACGCTGGGATAAGGGTGGCTCACACCTGTAATCCCAGCACTTTGGGAGGCTGAGGTGGGTGGATCACCTGAGGTCAGGAGATGGAGACCATCCTGGCCAATATGGTGAAACCCCATCTCTACTAAAATGCAAAAAAAAAATAAAAAAGCCAGACACGGTGGCACGTGCCTGTAGTCCGTTACCTTGGAGGCTGAGGCAGGGGAATCTATTGAACCCAGGAGTCAGAGGTTGCTGTGAGCCAAGATCATACCATAGCACTTCAGCCTGGTGACAGAGAGACTCTGTCTCAAAAAAAAAAAAAAAAAAAAAATTATGTGAATTGAGAGTGAAAAGTTGCCCCTGGTTGGAAAATTCAGGAAAATTCTGTGAGAACTTACATGGTGCCAGCTACTGTGCTAAGTGATGGAGACACAAAGGTATCCATTCCCCAAGTCCATAAGGTTCAACTGGAATTTTCTTTGTGATGAGTATATCACATATCCTCTGGGATTTTTTTTTTAACTTTTAGGTTTACCCAATTTTTACTGTAACCTCTTTCAATGTTTCAATTGTCTGATTTGGGCAGATGGAATTCTCAATCATTCCATTTTTACTCTGTGATTAGAGGTTATTAAGTCCTCACCCATCATCCGGGTTGTAACATTTCCATTTAATATATCTCTTAAGAAAATTTTTATTTTACTTCAATTGAGATTTCATTTTTTAATGTTATATTGAACAGCTTTGGCTATCCCACCCTCCTACCCACAGAGTGCAAAACAATTTACGCACCTCATACTTGGCTTACAGCCTCTCAAAACTCTTAAAGCTTTGTTCACCATGGTCCTGGCTTGATTTTCTTCAGGTTTTCTTTTCTTGGGATGTGACTATTCTTTCTTTTTACTTTCCTGTTTTTCTCCCCTCTCCTCACCATTCTTCTCTCCCCTCCTCTCCTTGTCTTGCTCTGTCACCCAGGCTGGAGTGCAGTGGTGCCATCTCAGCTCACTGCATCCTCCATCTCTCAGGTTCAAGTGATTCTCCTGCTTCAGCCTCCCGAGTAGCTGGGATTACATACAGGCACCCACCATCACACCCAGTTAATTTTCATACTTTTATAGTGATGGAGTTTTACCATGTTGATTAGGCTGGCCTCGAACCCCTGACCTTAGGTGATCTGCCTGCCTTGGCCTCTCAAAGTGCTAGGATTAGAGGTGGGAGCCCCCAGGCCTGGCCTCTTTTTTTTTTTTTTTTTTTTTTGACAGGGTCTTGCTCTGTCACCCAGGCTGCAGTGCAGTGGCATGATTACAGTTCAGGCTCAAGTGATCATCTCACCTTTGTTGGGGTCTGGCACATCTGCCAGGGGGCTACCGACCTGCGGGAGTCCCCGAGACCGCCAACGTAGATGTCTCGTTCAACCTGAGGGAGAGAGTGCGCGGAAGTGAAAGAAAATAGTAAAGTGGAGTCTGGAGGTCTATGTAACTTATGGTCAAAACGCAGCAAGTTTATTCTTGTGGGTTACAGCTTTTATACCTTTTTTCTTGTTTACATTTACTTTATCTCAGCAAAAAAAGAAGTAAACAGAAAGGAAATAGAAACTCCATATAAATAGTTATCAGGGGCTTGTGATAACCGCTCACAAAGTAGTTTAAGGGGGCTTGTGATAATAGTTTACAAAGCAGTTTATGTTTTTCAAAGATACACAGTGCAAGCAAACAATGGTGCCCTTAAGGTGGCTTGTTAATCCTGTTTTCCATCAGGAGGTAGAACAAAGGCTTAGCTCCAGGGAAAATATGGGCAGGGGCCTCTTGTCCCTCTTAGGCATCTCAATTGCAGTAAGTTTATTGCTTACACAGAGACTGATGGGGACATGAAAGCAGACAGCACAAGGTCCTCATAAACCGCAGACCTTTGCTTTGCATTCTGTTTTTGCCTCAGTGACTCAGCCCGTGACCTTCGTCTCAGCTCAACAGCCCTCGAGAGGTGGGAGTGCAGATAGGTCCAGCAGCCAAGATGGGGCGAGTCACGCTAACTGTCTCAAGCCCTTGGCGTGAACACTGCACATACCTTGGCTTCCTGAGTAGCTGGAACTACAGGTGCATGTCATCATGTCTGGCTAATTTTTAAAGTCTTTTTTGTAGAGATCAGGTCTCACTACTCCTGGGCTCAAGTGATCCACCTGCCTTGGCCTCCCAAAGTGCTGGGATTATAGGATGGTGTGACTGTTAGAGTGGTGAGTGAATAAGCTTTCTCTTGTTTTCCAAATGCAATTTATCAGAAAATCATCTTGGCTCAAAATATCCAAGTATATCCAAAACATCCAACTATATCTCACCATCTCCACCACTGTTTCCCTGCTCCAAGCCTCTATGTCTCTTGGGTATTTGCAATGGCTTTTCAAATGGCCTCCTTGATTCTTCTTTCTCCCCTGTATTTTCCACAAAGCAGCTAGAATACACTTTTTGAAACATAAGTCAGATCATACCCTTCACATACTTCTCTCCAGTGGAAAACCCTCCAATGCCTTCATTTAAGGCCCACATTCACTCTCTGACCCTCTCTCACCACTGCCTCATTTGTTCTATTTCATCATCACCTCCTTGAATACATCAAGGCCTTTCTATCTTAGGATGTTTGCACTTGCTCTTTTCTCTTCTCAAAAGGCTCTTCCCTAGGTATTTGCATGACTGGCTTCCTAATGTGTTTTAAGCTTCTGCTCGGAAGTGACGTTATCAACTATATTGAGGTCTTCCCTGAACGTCTTAGGTAGGATAACAAGCCCCCCTCCTTTTCTCTCCTCACTTCTTGGTATTCCATATCTCAGAACTTAATTTTTTTTTCTTTTTCTTTTCCTTTTTTTTAAATGAGGTGGGTTTTCACCAGGATGGCCAGGCTGACCTCGAACTCATGACCTCAGGTGACCTGCCCACCTTGGCCTCCCAAAGTGCTATGATTGCTGGTGTGAATCACAGCGCCCGGCCCATAACTTAATTTTTTTCCATGTACCATCTGAATACTAATGTATTTATTCACTTGTTTATTCCTGAAGGAGACAGATATCCATTAACACGATCTTTTCCCCCCATACTTTAACTCCCTGCTGTCGAGGTGCATGGCTCCTCAATTAAAGGCTAATTTACCAGCTTCTGTTCTGGGCCAATGAGATGTGAATGGAAGTTGTATGGGTTACTTCTAGTTTGTACCCTAAAAGAGAATGGGTATATGTTGCCCTTGCCCTTTCACCCTCTCCACTGGTTGGGGTGCAGATGTGCTGGCAGGAATTGGAGAAACTGCCTTGGACCCAGAGGCAGAAGTCCTGTGATGAGGATGGCAGAACTGCCCTGTCAGCCCTGGACTGTTACATGAGGTAAATAAACTTGTATCTTATTCAAACCACTATTTTTAGAGATGTATTTGTTATAATAACTTAGACTACATCTGAGTAATACATCATTTGTCTCCCGTCCTGCCTCCTCAGAAGTCCTGTGAAGGTAGGTACTTTGTTTCATACACTGCTCTATCCCTCTTCTGTAGAACTATATCTGGAATACATTAGGCACTCAATATCTATGGGATTAATGATGGATTCAAGAAAGAAAAGTAATTGACTATGTGGGAAATGGGATTATGTTTATGACCGGTGGAGCTCCAAGAGTTGAATTTAAGAAGAAATGGCTCATGCCTGTAGTCCCAGCACTTTGGGAGGCTGAGGTGGGTGGATCAAGGAGGTCAAGAGATCAAGACCATCTTGGTCAACATGGTGAAACCCCATCTCTACTAAAAATACCAAAAATTAGCCAGGCATGGTGGCGTGTGCCTGTAATCCCAGCTACTCAGGAGGCTGAGGCAGGAGAATTGCCTGAACCCAGGAAGAGGAGGTTGCAGTGAGCTGAGATTGTGCCACTGCACTCCAGCCTGGGTAACAAGAGCAAAACTCCGTCTTAAAAAAAAAAAAAAGATTGAATTTGAAATCTTTTACCCTCCAGATTAGGGACAGCACAACACAGGATGAGGATTTGGGTGAAGTTTCAACTATGGAGGTCCACATACCTGTTTAGAAGCCTCAGAGTGTAAGTCATTGGGTCAAGGACCTTACCTAAGCTGACTCAGAAGCATTATGCAGGGCAGTATTGACATGAACTGCCGGGAATCTCCTAAAGGGTCAAGGATGATACATGAGTCACATTTGGAAGGAACCTGGAAAATGGACAATTACAGTCCCTTCACTTTATGCAAGACTTGAGACCCAAATCAGAGAAATCCCAGTGGTCCACGAACTTAGCTCTGGTAAGTCCCTGATAATTATTTAAATTATTTCAGGTTCAATATCACTGACTGCTATCACCATTTTCAAGGTTAATATAATCTAATCTGCCTTGGTTCTGCTAAGATCTCCCTGTTTTTTTTTTTTTTTTGTCTGTTTTTTTTCCTCTAGAAAAAATAGAAAAGAGGTATCTCCCTATCTGGATGCAGAAGAGGTGGTAAAAAGAACACATAACATAGCTCTCACATGACCACATATCATGCTGGAGGCAGCTCAGACACAACTGAAGTTGGAGATTATTTTTAGGGTCAAGTTCAGAGCTGTATCTGCAATATCAACAACAGATATTTTAGCTCTTACCGTGTTGCCCATTTCTCCTCTTAGCTCTGTAACAGAGTAGTTCTTGCTGAGAAGGCGCTTTCCTGTAGCGGTGATGAACGTCCGCTTTGAGTCGAGCTTCCCCACGTAAGGACTGTATGATCTTGGAAAAGTTTCTTTACTTGTTTATGATAAATACACTCCCTTACAGCAAATTGATCCTCAAGTTATTCCTCTGTAAAGTGGGATAAATAATGCAAATTGTCTTCTAGGCATAATATAAAGAGTGAATGAGATACTCCAACCACTTGGTACAGTGGCTGGAATGTGGTATATATTTGATCAGTGCCGCTTTCATTATTGTTATGGTTAGGAAGACACTTGCAAGAGCACCGTTTTACTTCCAGAGCACATTCCATTTTCCAGCAAGTGGTGCTTTAATAGATTTCTAGTGACTTGAGAGTGACTTCCCTAAGCATCTTGCATTAAGGAAATGAGACCTCTTGTATTCTAAAAACATCATCCAATATGGCATTTTCACAATTTGCTTGTGGACATTTGTTATGTAGAATCTTCAAGTGTCTGCTATGTGGCCCGGTGGGAAAATAATAAATCAGGAAACAAAAAACTCTATAGTGTGTTACTAGTGCTCTATAAAGGCTGAGATGTTTTGCAAGTACCTTCTTCTATCAGATGATGCTTTCAATACTTCACATCAATACTTTCAGGAAAAAGTGAAATCATTTCGTTAAACACTTCTTTCATATTTCTGATGTTTTTAGTTGAAAATTCTTAACTTTGAGGATTTAACATAACAAGTCAAAGGAATAGAAATTATCTAGAAAACTATTAGCACAGAGACAAACATGTCTTACAGCCAAAAGAAGAGTATGCACATACTTTGGGAAATGTTTAAATAGAAATTTTAAAACGAGCCTGGTGGAGTCAGGTCGATGATTTCTGAGTTAATCATTTCTGCCTGTTAAATTGTTTCCAGCATTTTCTTTTCTTTTTCTTTTTCTTTTTTTTTTAGACAGAGTTTCACTGTTGTTACCCAGACTGGAGTGCAATGGCACGATCTCGGCTCATTGCAACCTCTGCCTTCTGGGTTCAAGCAATTCTCCTGCCTCAGCCTCCCGAGTAGCTGGGACTACAGGCGCGCACCACCATGCCCAGCTAATTTTTGTATTTTTAGTAGAGACGGGGTTTCACCTTGTTGACCAGGATGGTCTCAATTTCTTGACCTCGTGATCCACCTGCCTTGGCCTCCCAAAGTGCTGGGATTATAGGCGTGAGCCATTGCGCCCGACCTGTTTCCAGCATTTTCTAGCTGAAGTTACTCTTCTTGTCAACCGTTTAGCATCCAAAGTTTTCCCAAGAATACAAGGAAGATTTTTTCTCTTCAAACTACAGTCCAAAGAGTGGCAAACAAGGAAGATGACAGAGTCTGAAGACCTTAAGATTTCTTTTCTTTGGTCAAGAACTCATTACACAATGGGTGACACATTTTAGGTGGTCCTACTAAGAATAGACACGAGAAGCTAGAGTATCCCACTGTCAACCAATCCAAGGAAATTTTCTTTAGATGGCGAAAGCCAGAAACAGCAAAGCAGAAGCACTACTAGGGCTTTAAGGAGTTCCTTAGCATTTTTTTGGGGGATCCAAGCCTGGACACTGGTCCACTTTCCTAAGGATGGTAAAGAGGTAATACAGCTTCGGATTGGTTGGCTATGAGAGATACTGATCTAGGTACTGGAGCAGCACTAGGCGCAGAGAAGGAACATTTGGAGCAAAAAAAGAAGGCTATAGATCCGTGACATGAAGTCAGGAGCGAATGATCTCAGTTGCTTTACATGATCAAAGGGCAATAGCTGCAAATAGAGTCTTGCTCTGTCACCCAGGCTGGAGTGCAGTGGCATGATCTCGGCTCACTTCAATCTGCCTTCTGGGTACTGGGATGACAGGCACGTGCCACCATGCCTGGCTAAGTTTTGTATTTTCAGTAGAGACGAAGTTTCACCATATCGGTCAGGCTGATTTAGAACTTTTGACCTCCTGATTTGCCCACCTCAGCCTCCCAAAGTGCTGGGATTACAGGCATGAGCCACTGCACCTGGCCAATATTAGTGTTTTTAACACCCAGGAATAGAATATGCCTAAACATAAGAGCTTGATTTCCTCACATCTGCCTTGGCAATGATGTTTTGATTTTGCACAAGTCTGGTTTCTAGTTTGTAGGATTATCATTTTTCAATGCATTGAAGAAAAACACTTACTCCAGGAAGGAGTCTAAAACAGACTTCAGACATAGCACAGATATGGCCCTGGGCAAGGGTCATTTGGTGTTCTTAAGAAAATTCTAAATCCTAGAATGTGATTGTTAATATTACATGTCAACTTGATTGGATTGAAGGATGCCTACATATGTGTTGTTTCTGGGTGTGTCTGTGAGGGTGTTGCCAGGGGAAATTAACATTTGAGTCAGTGGATGGGAGAGGAAGGAAGACTCGCCCTCAGTGTGGGTTGGCACCATCCCATCAGCTGCCAGCATGGCCAGAACAAAGCAGCAGAAAGAAGGTATGATAAGCTAGCTTGCAGAGTCTTCTGGCTTTCATCTTTCTCCTGTGCTGGATGCTTCCATCCATTTCTTCTGCCTTTGGACATCAGTCTCTGGGTTCTTTGGTCTTTGGACCCTTGGACTTAACACCAGTGGTTTGCCTGGGGTTTCAGGCTTTCAGTCGCAGCTGTACTGTGGGCTTCCCTACTTGTGAGGGTTTTGGACTCACACTGAACCACAACTGGCTTCTTTCTTCCTCAGCTTGCAAACAGCCCACTGTGGGACTTTGCCTTGTGATCATCTGAGCCAATTCTCCTTAATAAACTCCCTTTAATAGATCTATATCTATTGGCATTCTATATCTATAGAAATAGATATGTCTCCCCTATTAGTTTGTCCCTCCGGAGAACCCTGACTAATACAAAGGGTTAAGTCTTAAACTACTTATAATTTCTCTCTGGAACCATATTTCATCTAGTTTGGAATGTTTACTTAAGACCCATATAATATATACAGAATAACGAGCAGGAGAAAGGTATGCTGATTAACTTGTATATGTGTCAGCCATAGGATTAGTTCCAGCAAAGGAACATACTTGCTTTTTTTTGGCTCCTTCAGTCTTCTCCCTGTTGCATTATGAAAATTTGATGATTTTGCTTATGTAAGTGTCTTTGTGGGATATTTTTCCTGGATCTTTTTAAGTGTTTGACCTCTGATTTTCGTAATAATTTTTCACATTCATATCACGGTATTAGGTAACAGAAATTATTCTTAAATAACGCCCGCCTACCCCCCGAAACAGCAAGTATGTATAGAGAAGACAGTTTTTGGATTAGCAGGAGAGTTAACCAAGGTAAAACTTGAATTCTGATCCTTACTCTGGAGAAAGAAAGGTAAGAAACTTTTTCATTTGTCTAAGAGAAGTTTATTTCATGGTGTTTATGATTGTGGAGATGTGTTTGTGGAGGAAAGTGGCATATTAGATAAATCTTTCTAAACTAGTATATGCAAATCGTTTATAGTGGGAAGGAGGGAATTCAAGTCTCAAAGATAAAAGCAAAGGGGAACAAAACTGTGACTATTCTTCCTGGCATGAGGAAATAATATGTGAATTACAAGCATGCTTGAGTAATGTAGATTGAGTTGATGGGCAGAAACGTGGCCCCTTACGGCACAGAGATGACAAAGTAAACATATTTGGCCCTCCTGGCAGGGTAGAAGTAGCATGTGTTCCCCAAATCATCTGGATATGCC